GTGTGCACTGTGCGAAAGGAAGGGGCTTCTGTCAGGGCACAAGACAGAAGCAGCTCACCTCGTCCAGGTCAGCAGACGCGCGTTCCTGCAGGCAAGCGCTTGAGTTGAAAGCTAAAGGATGAGTTAGGAGCTAGGAGCCAGCACTCCGGGAAAATGAAACTGTATTAACAAAGGCTCGCCGGTGGGAGGGAGAGTCTGGGGAGATGGACCAGAAGGGAGAGGATGCGTATGTTTATTCTGAGAACAAGGAAAGCCATTGAAGAGGTCGAAGGGGGTTGAAATGGGCTCTCTCAAAGATTGTGGAGACGGATGTTGAAGTCCTCCAGCCAAAGATAACCAGAAAGAGACGTCTAGTCCACAAATACGGACTTATTAGCTTGCCTGATCAGGGAGAGGGCGCCCTGGAGGAACTCGGGGTGGGAGGAGGGGCAGGCAGGACGGGCTGGGAGGGGATTACCCCAGGATTTGGGCTTGTGCTGGGTGATTTTAAGCAGGAACTTGGGTAGTGGGGACCAGTTCTTCGTTGAATACAGGCAGCCATCCAGCAAGAGGGTTTTGTAGGGTACATTTAAAAACTGATCATGTTCCCTGTTGCCAAAGGGGAAGAGATCCACTCCCTCCTTCCTTTCTTAGAGCATTTCTTTGTGAAATTGTGTGTGTGTAAATCTTTCCTGTCTCTTTGACATGTATGTAAATCCGTTTTGTGAGTGCTATTTTTAAAATTATGGTAAAATACGCATCACGGAAAATTTACCGTTTAACTATTTTTAAGCATACAATTCAATGACATTAAGGCATTCACGATATTGTGTAATCGTCACCATTGTCTCTTTCCAGAACTTTTTCATCACCCTAAACAGAAACTCTGTACCCATTAAGCAATAACTCCCCATTCCATCCTCCCTCCCAGCCCCTGGTAACCGGTCACCTATGTTCTCTCTATAAATTTGCCTATTCTAGATGTTTCATGTAAGTGGGATTGTATTTGTCATTTCGTGTCTGGCTTATTTCACTTAGCATAATGTTCCCGAGGTTCGTCCATGTTGTAGCGTGTATCAGGGCTTCATTTTTTTTTATGGCTGAATAGCATTCCGTTGTACATGTATACTACATTTTGCAAATCTTTTTAAAGGCTAAATATGCCTCCTGCCACTATTACAACCCAGGAATGTTTTTCTTAGGGACCTAGGAACTATCTCTTTGAAATGTAAATATCAGGGAAGATAGTGTCCTTATCTCCCTGTGACCATGGGAGTTTAACCTGAGCATCTTGTTCTAAGGGGTAAGCACCTGCTTCTCACAAAGATGAGAAGTTTTATTATTCTTTGAGACAAGGGCAGTTAGCTAGCACAATGGGTGCCCCAATTACAAGGTGAGCTAAGGATGAACTAGGAAAGAATGAATAACTAGGACAGGTGTGGTTGGGTCCTCTTACCTGAGGACAAGTTTCCATTAATCTCGAGAGCATGGATGTAATGCAGTGGCTGGGTGTATATACAAAGGGAGGGATTTCTCTGTCGTTGTAATCTCATCAGCAGATAACCTGTAACGTGCATCAAGTTCTGGTTTAACGCTTGTTCGATAAAACTGTTCTCCATCTTTTCTAGAGTCGTGGAGAGGATTTTGTGGAAGGGCAAGAGATTTTAACTTTTTCCTGATAGTATCTTGGTCATGTTTGATCAGAAGACAGGAAGAAAGAAGGAGGGCCAGGATATCATTGATAAGAAAGCAATAGTCGTTCATAAGAATGGCTTACCAACTGTGTCTGTGCAGTTGTGGGTTCTACCTTTTGCCCGACTGGGTGGAAACTTGGTTTATCAAGGTCTGAATGTCATCAGGGCTGACAGGGCTTCCCAGTTTCTTCCCTGTTTCCTGAAGAAACTAAGGCACTGAGAACTTAGCCTCTGCTGGGCATTTGAATGTGGAGGGTGCTTCCCAGGACAATTAAGATAAAATCTCAGCTCTTTTTCCAGGCCTGTGGGATCTGACAGCAGTAAGTACATGCAGTGGTTGAGAGCACGGGCTCTCGAGCTGCCACCTGCTTCCAATTTGGAGCTGCCTAGCTGAGCCCTTCTCCATTTCCTGGCCCACGAAACCAAGAGCACAACAGAGTTGTCCTAAGCTGCTGAGTTTTGGGTCTATTTGTTATGCTGCAAGAGTAACTGATATATCTGTAATGTTTCATTTAATAGGAAGAGCTTTGTTATCCCCATTTTATAGATGAGGAAACTGAGGCATGGAGAAGTTAACCTCTACGGGGCATTTGGACATGGATGGTGAGGGAGAGAGAGGTGCCAAGGATGGTGACAAGTTCTGGTTTTGCAGAAAAGGATGGATGGGCAGCCTTTCCCAAGGCAGCAACCATTGGGAGAGGACAAGGTAAGTGGAGGGGGGTTGGGGGAAGTGAGTTGCTCTCGGATAAGTTAATTTTCAGCACCCCAAAGGGAATGTCAGGTGAGCAGTTGGCTGAGCGAGTCTAGATCTCAGAGAGGCAGGCTGGGCCGAAGAGGGAAACGTGGACATTTAAACTGGGTCTGGATCGTCATTCCAGTTGTAGACAGGGGGGAGAAAGTGAAAGAAGGGGGCCTGTGGCTGAGCCCCAAGGTACCCTAACGTGTACCATCTGGGGGAGGCGGCAAAGGAGAGAAGGAGCGGCCCTGGAGGTAGGAGGAGAGCCAGGAGAGGGTGGGGCCACAGAGGCCAAGGGGAGCCAGCATTTTGAGAAGAAGCAGGTGGTAAACAGCGTCTGCAGGGGGAAGGCAAGAACAAGGCCTGGAATCTCCCACTGAATTGAGAAGCCTCAAGGGCCAGACTGTCTCCCAGATCCGCCAGACACCAGCGGCTCCTCTAAATTCTTCCGTGTTAATGACAGCAGGAGCAGTGCCCCCACCCCCACCCTGCACACACATTCGTATGTGAAGCCCTAACCCTCAGGACCTCAGAATGTGACTATATTTGGAGACAGGGTCTTTACAGAGGTCATTAAGTTAAAATGAGGTCATTAGAGTGGGCCCCCAATCCCATATGACTGGTGTCCTTATAGACACACACACCACGTGAGAACACAGGGAGAAGACGTCCGTCTGCAAGCCCAGGACAGAGGCCTCGGAAGAAACCAACCCTGCCAACACCTTGATCTTGGACTTCCAGCCTCCAGAACTACGAAAAAATAAATTTCTGTTGTTTAAGGCATGCAGTCTGTGGCATTTTGTTATGGCAGCCTGAGCTGACTAATGCATGCAGTCACACAGTTTTAAAAAAATTTATGGAGGTGAAATTCACAAAACATAAAATTAAACCACGTAAAGTGATTGAGAGGCATTTAGTACATTCACAGTGCTGGACCACTACCATCTCTACTTAGTTCCAAAACATTTCCATCAGTCCAAAATAAACTCTGTACCCATTAAGCAGTTTCTCCCCATTCCTCTATAACACGGTTTTATTGAGCACTTTCTCTGTACCAGGTACAGTTCTTTGCACTTTATGCAAATGTACTCATTTAATTCTCACACCAGCCCAGGTAGCCAGCATTATTATTATCATCGCCATTTGACTGACGAGAAACTGGGCCTCAGGCTAAGTGACTTGCTTTAGCTAAATAACTGGTTAGACAATTGCAGTCAAAGATAATTATTGAGACTTTGCTATGCGTGGGGCCTGGATCGAGGGACAGGGCATCCAGGGTGAATCAAGCACAGTCCTGATTCTGAAGAATCTTCTGATCTAGCCGGAAAGACACAGGTTGGACAAATAGTTATAAATTAAGTAAATAGTTACAAGATTGCACAATGCTGGGGAAAGAGCCACAGCTGGTGCTGGGGCTGGGGTGAGAGAAGAGAGGGCATCTGGAGAGGTTAAGCGAAGGCACAGAGGCAGAGGAGGAGCAGCTGGAAGGAGGACGTGCTGGCACAAAGCACATGCCAGGCAGTGGGAATAGTTTATATGTGAGGGTCAGAAGCAGGAGGAAAGAGACCAGCCTGGCTGGGGCATGGCTAGTGAGGGAGAGAATGGCTTCAGAGAGGTGAGGAGAGGCAGACAGGAGTCTTTCCCTTTCCAACAACGTTAGGGATTTCAGATTTATTTCTAAGGGCAATAGGGAGCCATGGATGGCTTAACACCATCCCTTGACAATAAGCTTACTTGTTGAACTCCTTCAGCGCATTCTGATTTCCAAGTTGGGAGGAAAACATTACTGAGCCTCCAGATACTGACAACAGATTGTTCTAAATCTGTGTGCCCCCCGAATTGGACTTTGAGCTCCTGGGAGGCAAGGACACCATCTCACTCCCCACTGTATCCCCAGGGCAGACAGCACAGGGCATGACACTGGATTGAGTTTAAATATGTACACACAGAAGGCCCCACTCACACCTGAGTGGTAACCCCTGCTCTGAGGGTTCAAATCCAGGCTCTACCACTTTTTGTCTCTGAGACTTTGAACCAGTGACTCCCACCTGTATGAGTCTGGCTTTCCTTATTTGTAGCATGGGTATAATTACGGTACCTATTCTAGAATGCTCACATGAGGAGTCCTTGAAGAATATACGTCAAGTGCTTGGCACAGTACCCACTCAAGAATACTAGGTTTGTTGTTACTACGGTCAAGCAGAAGTCAAGCGCATCTGGATTAGAATCTAGGACAAGGGACTCTGAGCAACTCTGTGCATCTCCCAGAACCTCAGTTTCCCCATCTGTGACTTGGGCGGAATAACAGCTCCTAGGGTTATCGGGACAGTGTGATGAGCTCATGCACAGGAAGCGCTCAGCCCACAGGAGAAAGATGCGTGCTACCACGACGGTCGGTTCCCGGCTCCCGGGCCCACGGCGCAGCTGTTTCCCAAAACGCGTTTCCTTTCCTTGGCTGCAGCGCAGTCCCGGCGCGCGGCCCGGGCCGAGGGGGCGTGGCCGCGGGCGTGGGCGGGGCGCTGTTGTGCCCGCCCCTTGAGCCGGGTGGGCGGGGCCAGGCGGGGCGCCCCGGCGTGCGCGCGCGCGCGGCGGCCCCAGGTACGCGGACAAGATGGCGGCGGCAGCGGTCGACAGCGCGATGGAGGTGGTACCGGCGCTGGCGGAGGAGGCCGCGCCGGAGGCGGCGGGCCTGAGCTGCCTGGTGAACCTGCCGGGCGAGGTGCTGGAGTACATCCTGTGCAGCGGCGCGCTGACGGCCGCCGACATCGGCCGCGTGTCCAGCACCTGCCGGCGGCTTCGCGAGCTGTGCCAGAGCAGCGGGAAGGTGTGGAAGGAGCAGTTCCGGGTGAGGTGAGCCAGCGCCGCCGCCCGCGCCCCCGCGCTGCGCCCCCGGCCCGGCCTCGCCGCCCCGGCCCCGCGCGCGGCCCCCGCCGCCCCCGGCCCCCTCCCGCGGACAGACAGACAAAGGCCTCAGGCCGCCGGCCCCTGGGGCCCCGGCGCGCGGACCCTCGGGGCCCAGCTTGCGCCTCGGGGGCGCCCGGCCGCCGGCCCTCCCCAAAGGGTGACGACGGTAGTGTCACCGCGCGTCCAGCCCGCGCGCTTCTTTTGTGCCCGACTCTGTGCTAGGATGTTTACATGGATCCGGGGATGCGGCGATCCTCCGCCGTGGAGCCGCGGGCGCAGCATCCCCGGGTTGGTGGCCGCGAGCGCAGATTTCCGTGGGGGACCCGGGATGGAATCTGGCCCTGGCACACTCGCCGGATGACCTTGGGGGTAGCGGCTTCCCCTTTCTGAGCCCCATTCATCGACTTTGAGAGGTGATCCTGAGACCGACCTGTATGGTTGTGAGATGAGAAGATGTGTAGGGAGCTTTTGCACAGGGCCCGGCTCTTAGGAGGCGCGCAGTAAATGTTAACTGTCATTGTCGTCGCTATTATTGTTGCTGCGCCTGTCCCCATTTTATAGATGGGGAGTGGAGACGCGGCGTTGGTTTCGCGACGCCAAGGTCACACCGTGAGCGGGTGCGCGCGTGCCGGGTGGAGATGGGAACTAGGGCGGTCGCCGGGGGCACCCCCGACCACCAAACCCTCCTGCTTTCCCGGTCTGTCTTTGACTCGTGTCTGCCTGCGCGCCTGCCTTTGAGTCTCTCTGAAGCTGAGGGGGTGTTTCTCTCCTTGTAGGTGGCCTTCCCTTATGAAACACTACAGCCCCACCGACTACGTCAATTGGTTGGAGGAGTATAAAGTTCGGCAAAAAGCTGGCTTAGAAGCCCGGAAGATTGTAGCCTCCTTCTCAAAGAGGTTCTTTTCAGAGCACGTAAGGATCTGTTGCTGTCGCTCGAAGCTTCTGCCTGGTTGTGGTGTCTGCGTCTGGGTCTGGAGGCATTAGCTCATACATAGAGCGCTTTTGGATAGCTCCCTTTTCAGTGCTCTCGCGATCCCTTGCTCACTTAAACGGCTGCAAGAGTCCTTGTGTCCTTTTCCTCCTCTCCAACAACATGAAGCCGTTTGTCCCTGCCAGCTTGACTTTGCTAAAGCCAGAGAGAGAATGGGGGTGGAGAGGGAGGGAGGGACCTGTAACACAGTGTGGAGGGAATCCAGATCAGCATTATTTCTCTGCAAGTGGGTTAAACATATTTTTTTGCAACCTCTGCATGATTTGGGCGATCATCAATGATTGAACACTATAAATTTCACCCAGTTGTTTTCCCAGAAGGGTTGCCAAAATTAATATGGTTCTTGTCTCTGGCTTTGCAGGTTTTACAGTAGTAAACTGCATTATTTGTTAAGGTAACAGGATTGAAAGCTATCTGTAAATCAGAACTATTACTGCCTCACTTAAGTTGTCTTGCATTCATTATCTTGATAAGTTTGTTTGTTTGTTTGTTTGAATATTGCTGAAATGCATGGGGTTTGGGGGGTCTTTTTCGTTCCACAAAGTATCTCACAGATGTTTCCGCATCAGGTCCTGATTCTTAACTTTTTGTAACTCTGGAAAATATTCCACACTAATATTTTAAATTTATTTCCCATTGGGGGTCTAGAAATAGAGCCCATCTGATTTGTTTTACTATCCTGGTTTACTGAAGGTGAATTCCTATTTTCTAATTTTAGTTACTGTTACTTAATGGAGTTCACATATTTAAAGTGTTTTCAAGGCTTTTCAGGTTTTGAAAGGGAAAATTTGAACTTGGGACAAATTTGACCTTATTCCTGTATGGAGAATAAAGCTAGATATTCCCAAGAGTACTTCATTTCTGTAAATAAATGTTTGTTAATGTTGGAATGGATGAAATTTGTGTTCTACTTTGGATAAACTGCCTAAAAGCATTCATAATCACTGATTTTAAATCCTGGTTTAAATGTGTTTGTACATGCATGTATTTGGGTGCTACATGTGTTCCATGCCCTTGGTCATGGGCCACTAGTTTGCAGCCTCTACTTCTAGTCGAGCTAGTTTTGTGTGCATTTTGAATACCCTGTGCCTTTGTCCAATAATGATGAATTGTGTTTTTTCCTTAGCTCCCTTTTTCCCTGTACCACTGCTTAATTAGAAGCCTGTCAAGGACTTTGAACATAGCAGGAGTATACTTAAGATTGATCTGTCGGGGGGTGATTACTTTGGCTCAGGACCCTTGTATTCCTGCATTCTCTGCATGCACACAGGTTGCCATGCAATTTCCTGGCTACTATCAAAAAGAAAAATGAGAGAAGCGATAGAGTATTGAACTGAGGGGACAAAAGCTCATTGGTACCACCACCTCAATTTACAGAGGAGAAAACACGTGCAGTGGGTTGAGTTACGGAAAGCACTAGACTTCTCTCTCTGGTCCTCCTCTCCTAGTTGAGTATAGCGTAGACTGCACAAAATAGGTATTGTGAATTAGGAGATTTTGTATTTCTACTTCTTTTTTCAGAGCTATTTTTTTTTCACATTAGAACTCTGAGTTATCAGTTGCAGAAATTCTAGGCTATGAAAACATAATTAATTTGCAACTAACATGAAGATCTGAACAAATTGTTACTTTGCATGTTACTTTTCACCCAGGGTGGGTGGTACAAGTTAGTGTGGGATAGCTGGTACCACTTCCGTGAACACAAGCATCTTTGTTTGCAACTCAGATTTGTGTATGAGAGTGACAGCAACATTATTACTTGTTATTGAGGCCTGTTTGTATATGTCTTCTTCGTAGGTCCCTTGTAATGGTTTTAGTGACATTGAGAATCTTGAGGGACCAGAGATATTTTTTGAGGATGAACTGGTGTGTATCTTAAATATGGAAGGAAGGTAAGCCATAGTTTTAGCAGACATTTTGTTTGTTTGTTTGTTTGAATAATAACCCCAGAATTAATTGCTGTAATTTGTATGTGGCTAAACCATGGCACTTTGTTTCCAACTATTTCATGTGTTACTATAGTTATATTTTTTTTAGAAATTCTCCGTAAATTAGGTAAATACACTGGGGCAATTGATGTTTAAAGAAACTGTGCAGAAATCCTTTTGGAAAGAAAAGAAAATTAGCATTTAGTCCTACTATGTGCTCTGTGCTCCCAGCCCTTGTGTCTGTTGTGTCTTTGGAGTAATATAAACTTTCTTTTTTAACAGCTCTCCACCTACCACCACCAAATTTGCCTGTCATGAATTGAATCTTTTTTTTTAAAAAATAATTTTTTAGGCATGTCTTAATTTAATGGATGATTTCTTACAATTTCTGAATTTTGCTAAGAAATAATCTTACTTTGGCCATGAACATTTATACATACTTGGTTGAGCCTTTCTTTTATCTCTGCTAATCAAGAAGAATCCATTTTCTCTTGGTTGTTGCTTAAAATTTTTTATGCCTTATATTTTCTGCTACAAAGGTTAATTTCCAGGTTAACTGAAAAATGACTTGGCTTCCAGCCTAACTTACCTAGGAAAAAGATTTTCTGATCTAAAAGTTCTGGAAATGTTTACTAGTGATGGAAGATAAAACTGCTTGTTTAGCATCTTCCTTAAGAGAGATCATTGTGAAATATCTCACCAATAAGGCCTAAGATGTTTTCCTTGTTTTTAAGGGGGTTTAGGAGAGAAACACCTATCAGTGACACAACCGTAGGAGAGGTAAGATGTGTCACTGTTCTAGGCCTTGGGTTAGTTCAGTGCAGAGGTCATTTTTCCGTTTCTATTTTGGTTTATCTATAAATGATTTGAAGTATGATCTAAGAGTCAGTGTTGTGAAGCCTTAAAAATAAAAGCTGACCTGTCTTTTTTACATATATACACATATACTTTTAAATCCGTGAATGTAATATCATACATAGAGTTTATTGGTTGTTTTAGTTTTGATTTGCTGTTTAGTGCAGACTTTGTTTTTTTCTTATTTATGCTATTTTTCCCTTCCTCCCTACTCCATTTGTATTGGCCTTCCCTGCCCCCACCGTTGTAATTACGATGACAACCTAGGTTGTATTGTTCTGTACTAATATACACTGATATATATAAGGGTGGGGGGGAATCATTATTTCACGAAATTGTGATCATAAAATAGGTACTTTTCTGTATCTTTTTTTTCTCATTCAAAATTACCTTATGGAAATCTATCCTAATCAACTGGTAAAAATCGAATTCACTTTTGTTAATGGCTGCATGCGGTTTTGTAGTATATAGCATAATTTCTTTAATCTTCCCAATATTGATGGATGACCGCTTTCTTCTCCATTTTGCGTTACTGTGAAAGGTGATGTTTCTAGTGGTTTCATTTCTGAGTAATAGATTCCTGGGAATGGGTTTCCTAGGTCAGGGTATAGAATGTTTTTGAAAAACCTAAAATAAAAGATAGCATGTTCTTGAACGGGAAGGCTTAACATCACAAAGTGTCAGTTCTTCTGAAATTAATACGTAAACCTAGTGCCATTCCACTTAGAATCCAAAAAGAGTTTTGGGAGAGGAGAGTTTTTTGGTATGTTTAATTGGATAATATTGTCATAAAATGTATACAGAAGAATAAATTCAAAAGAAGAGCCAGAAAAAAATTTTTTTATTATTGCGACAGGACACTTGCATCACTAGATAATGCAACATATGATAACGCTAACTGTAATGAAAACAATACAGGGGCTGGCCCGATGGTCGAGTGGTTAAGTTGGCATGCTCTGTTTTGATGTCTAGGGTTTTGCCGGTTCAGATCCTGGGCATGGACCTCACCCGCTCATCAGGCCATGCTGAGGCAGCGTCCCACGTAGCAGAGCTAGAAGGACCTACAACTAGAATAAACAACTATGTACTGGAGGGCTTTGGGGAGAAGAAAAAAGAAAGAAAGAAAAGGAAAATGATTGGCAGCAGATATTAGCTCAGGACCAATCTTTAAAAAGAAAAAACATACAATGTTGAATAAAAGTAGATAGCCACATCAGTGGCAAAGGATAGTTCATGTCCCAGCTGTAAAAGATAATAATATATTTAAACTTGGAGGGGAAAAGATGGATTAGTTAATGAATGGTATTGAACATAACTGAATATCCATCTGGGAGAAAGTAAAACTTGCATCATGTAAAGCAATTAAATTCCAAAAGATTAAACAACCTGAATTTAAAAATTATCACATTGAAAATCCCTCAAGGAAATAGGAGACTTCATGCACAGTCTAAGGAGACCTCCTTAACCAAGACTGATAATGCAGAAGCAGTAAGAGAATATAGACAAATTATTTTTCAATAAAAAAATAAACTGTATGACCTAAGAAACCGTAAATGAAGTCAGTAGAATGCCTAAAATTTCTAAGAAGAAATTGAAAAATGGACAAAGAATAGCAGGATGACATTCTGAGAAGAGCAAATCCAGGTGTCTGGCAATCATGTAAAAAGACCTTTAAGTTCACTCTGAAATGTTGAATAACAATGAAATACTGCTTTTTCACTTATCAGATTAGCAAAAAAGACTGATTATGCACAGCCAGTAAGAACATACATTGTTTTAGTCTTTTTAGAAGTAATTATCATAAATATGTTACCCCTCGACCTGATATATGTGTTTTGAACCTAAAATAGGGTTGATTTTAAATGACAGGGAATACTGTCACATTTGTAAATATGTTTGGATACTGGTTTCCATGAAGGACCATATTCGTATTCATTCCTGGCAAAGCTTATTGTTTGGATGTGGAAAACATGAGGAGGGAGAGGGGTCGTTTCTGCAAATGCTAAAGCTCCAATCCCTGGATATTTGAAAACAATTTGCATTTATGGTGTTCTCTGTGCTCTTTTTTTAAAAAGAGTGCATTCTGCAGTAAAGATTTGAAACAGCATATTAAAAGGGTATACACCGTACCTGAGAAAATTCACCCAGAATGGCCAACACTGACATGTATTTCAGTAAAACTGTTGGATTTCAAGACAGAAGAGTCCTTTAGGCATCCAAGCAAAAATGATGAAGTCCCTTATAAGGGAAAGAAAATCAGAATATCATCAGATTTTTCAACAGCAGTTCTCTATGCCAGAGGAAAAAAGAGTATGTAAGATACTCAGGGAATGAAAATGTGAGCGGAGGATTTCTGGATCCAGCCAAACTAACTTCCAGGTATAAAGGCTGCAGACAAACTAATCACCTCACCGGAACTCCGGGGACTTTTGAGCTCTTCCCGAGAAATGTGCTAGAAAACGAGCTTCAGACAACGGAAATAATCAGACAGACATTGACATAAGGACTAGTGTGAGCATTAAGTACTTGTTTAAATCCAAATGCCAGTTAATAGAGTAGAAGGTTTTGTATGTAGTAGCCTTAAGCCCTGACAATGTAGAAACAGTACAGCTGTTTAAAAGAATAAGCAGAGAATAGGGGAAAACATAAGCAAAATATTTAGTTGTTTTCAATAATCATCAAGATGATGAAAATATTGGTTTTATTTTTCTGAGGCTGGTGCATATGTGTTTGTGTATAAGAGAAAGAGATGTAGAATAAAGCAAACGAGTAATTATGTTACTGCAGAAGCAGGGTTCTCCTGGAAGGAAAAAGATATAGATGTAAAATAGAAAAAGGGAGAGCCTGGCGCCACGGCTGAGCTGTTAAAGTCTTGTGCTCTCCGCTTCAGTGGCCTGGGTTTGTGGGTTCAGATCCTGGGTGTGGACCTACTCTATTCAGCAGCCACACTGTGGAGGTGTCCCACATAAAAGAGAAAAGCAGAGGAAGATTGGCACAGATGTTAACTCAGGCATAATCTTCCTCAGCAAAAAAAAAAAAAAAGAAGAAAGTAAAAACTGTATAATTCTGAATTTGAATCAGAAACATCAGTAGGAACTCGTGAGGTATCTTATATTTAAATATGTGTAGGGGGTGTGTGTGCGTGCACACATATGCACACTAGGCTTACTATCTCCACTGAAAAGTTCTAGCAACAGCAACAACTTAGTAGAAATGATTATCCCTAGTACCCAGATTGTGGTCTTGATCTACCATTTCCCCATCAGAAGCCACCAGGGTTTTTGGGGAAATGGCTGCTTCTAGGTCCAATGCAGGAAATGTAAAAGATGAGCCTTGGAGCATCTTGGAAGCCTGGACCAGATAGCAAGAAAAGTAACAATACTTCATGTCAGAAGCATTCAGGGGCCAACATGAAGAGGCTTCCATTGGATAATAGCATCAGTGTGGATTATAAATAGAATGGATTGATATGCATCAAATATATTTAGCTCCATGAGTTCATAATAATACTTAAGAGCAACTAATTGGTCACCTTTGGAGGATAATAAGAACCTAAATTATTATTTTGAAAAATGATAAATAAAAGGAAAGAAATGAGCATTTACCTTGCCTTTCTTATATACTATGCCATTGGGGGACCAAACAACAGATAAGGGAAAGTTATTCTTTATAGGGGTATGCCAACTAATAAATGAAGAACGGATGGTCGAATTAGAATATCGCTCCTTTGTAACCGCTAATGAATGAACACACTTGGGCATTGAGTAGCAGTGGCTGCTAACATCACAAAAGGAAGCAGTCAAGTGTGGTTGCCTCCTGATGGAAGAACTGGTTACCACCTGTGAAGTAGTCTTGCCAAATGAATGGAGTCCGAATCTGATCAAGCCTCTACATCCAATTTACAGGAAATTCAGAAGACAGAAGAGCATGTTAAACTACACCATATGAAGGCAGTGAACAAATTCCAGACTCTGGGAAACTGCAGGTCAAACAACCAGGTTTCTTCAACAAATAAAATGCAAGGGGAGAAAAAGATGTAGAGGGATCCTGTAGGTTCGGAGACTTAAAAGCCGTCAGAGCAGACTAGTCCTGGGTGTTTGGGGAGTCACATTTGGTGAGAGCTATAGAGAAAAGCAAGGTGGCGATGACCAGAGAGGTGCGGATTGTGATTCTTGTGGAGGCGGGAGGGGAGGGCCCGTGGAGGCCTTCTGGGGTGTCTACAAAGTTCTGTTTCTTGGCCTGAGTGGTAGATACAAGGATGTTTGCCTTATAAAAATTCACTAAGCTACTCATTTGTTTCATGTAGTTGTCTAGATTGACATATTTTGCAACTCAAAAGTTAAAGAGCTGGTAAAATGTAGCTCTGATGATTTTCATTTACTCCCTGCGGAGTGAGAGTCCTTTGTTTCTTTATGAAGTCAGGCAGATAAGCTGATTGCTGTCTCCCTCCTACTTGCCATGACGCTGTGTGTATTTGGGAGATCTGGTGAAGAATCTCGTTGACTCACCAAGTATTTGTTGAGCATCTGCCATGTGCCAGACACTGTTCTAGGCACCGGGGGTACAGCACTGAACAACACAAAAAAACTCTGCCTTCATGGAACTTACGCTCTAGTGGGGAAGTAGGCACTGAACAAAATAAGATATTTATTGCATTGGAAAATGAGAAACACTATAGAGAAATATGAGTCAGGGAGGAGGGGAGGGGAGTGCTGGGGGGTACAGTTTTAAATAGGGAGGTAGGAGAAAGCCTTACTCAAAGGGACGTTTAAGTCAAAACCTGAAAGGAGGTGAGGGCACAGGTGGCAGCTCTCCAGGCAAAGAATGTTCCAGTCGGAAGGAACTGAGAGTACTAAGGCCCAAGGGGAGCACTGGCCTAGCGTGATGAGGCAACAGCAGGGGAGCTGGCATGGCTGGGGACTGGACTAAGGGGGGAAACAGTAGGAATTGAGGTCAGAGAGGTAATGGGGCAAGAGTTTAAAGGGTAGGACTTGGGCTTTTACTTTGAGCAAGGTGGAAAACCATTGGAGAATTTGGAGCAGGGAATTTTCGTACTGTGATTTGACCTGTTGGCTGGAGCCTTCTAGCTGCTGTGTTGAGCACAGACTGTGAGGGACGAGGTTTGCAGCAGGAAGCTCAGTGAGGAGGAGGATGCTGGGACACAGACAAAAGATGCTGGTGGCTTAATGAGTTAGTGAGACGTGTTCACTGTTTTGAAGATAGAACTAACAGCATTGATGGATGGATTGAAGGTGGCTTATGAGAGAAAGCAAGGTGTCAAGGATGACTCCAAGGTTTCTGGCCTGACTGGAGTGATGGAGTTGCCGTTATCCGAGAGGGGATGACTCTGGGAGGGGAAGAAAGCTAAGGTGCTCGCCAGGTATTCGAGTGGGGAGGAGGAGTAGCAGTTGGGTATGTGGGTCTGGAGTTTAGGGGAGAATTCTGTTCTGGAAAATAAACTGGGGGTTGTCAGTGTGGATCCTGTTTGAAACCAGGAGACTGGATGAGATTAAACGGCAGTGAGTGGAGCAGGAGAAAAGCTGCAGGTGCCGAGGGGCCAGCACAGGCTTCCAGACCCCTCGGCCCTGTCTTTCGAGACACCCCCCCGCCGGTCCCCTGACTTGTCAGGTTTCTCTTTTATTTCCATTCACTCAATCTGAAGGCAAACAGATAACTGTTTCTTGAATTTCAGCATGACTCATTCAGTGTTATATCACAAATGCAAGTCCTAAATGGGGCTTTCTGCTCCCTGATAATAACTGCTCTGTAATTGTGAACGAATTGTATTTTTCTCATGAAGTAGACTCTTTACATGGTATGATTAGTGCGAAGTGAAAAACAGATAATTGAAAGTTTTAGTATCTTAATTCTTACTGACCTGTTTGTTTTTCCAGAAAAGCTTTGACCTGGAAATACTACGCAAAAAAAATTCTTTACTACTTACGACAACAGAAAATTTTAAATAATCTTAAGGCTTTTCTTCAGCAGCCTGATGACTATGAATCGTATCTTGAAGGTGAGACTTTAACAGCAGTGTTTCGATACGCAGCTAAGTTGTCCTTCAGAGCAGTAGTGGAAACTGTCCCTGATGCAGGAGCAGGGGGAAGGGGGACTGCGCTCCACAGGCTCCTGGAGGTCTGATCGGTTAGCTAGGCAAAACTATTCAATTTAGAGCTAAGATTTTGTCAGAATCTTTACCTGTCAGCTGAAGAGCCAGTTTTCTAAAGATGTGTTTCAAAGCTTTAAAGCATCATTCCAAATCAGAAATAAATTTGTCCAGTTTTGCCTTCATGTGACCCCAAGCAAATCCCTTGACCTCTCTGGTTGGAGTTTAATGAGGACGAAATGTTCTCGCGCGTCAGTGAGTCTGCTTGTCCGTAATGAGAAGTGAGTAGAAAGAAGTCAAGTGGACAGGCAAAATGAAGGGAATAACTTGTTGTTCCTGCTAAATTGAACAAGAACAAAATGTGACTTTATTTTTAAAAACTATTTAAAATTCCTAGCATATTACACAAACACTCCCATAACTTAAGGTTATGAAATACAGATACGACCGTTCACTTTTGTTCCCTGTTCCAGTGATTTACCCAGTTGGTTGATTTTTTCCTTTCCAATGTTTCTCAGTCATGTCTCCATTCTATTACTGTTCTTGGGAGGGCCGTCACCACCTCTCTCAGCCACAGCTTTCTGAGTAATAGTTGCTTTCACGAGCATCACGCCCTCCTGTCCTCAAGTCAGCCAACATACCACTGCTGGTCCACTGTGAAACCCCGCCTTTTCACCACTCCATGTGAACCGGCAGTGTGGTCGCTGATCGCCGTTCTTATTAAATCTCTGCCTGCTTTTTAGTGCCCTCCGTAATTCGGTCCTCCCCACAACTCCAAGCCTTTCCTCGTTCCTCTACAAAATGTCCCACTTGCTCCAGCCAGGCCCTTGTCCTCAGTGGCACCCTACAGATAGCCCTGGCTTCACATCCACATTGTGGTACCCCTTTTCCTCAGAACTCCCTCTTAAATCCTACTCACCCTCCGGAAGTTCAGTTCAGGTCTCACTTCCGTTAAGTTTCACTGACCTGCAGGATCTACTCCCCTCAGAACTAAGCAGCACTGACTGGTAGACTACCACATCATTTCTGTCTCACGTGTGGACAGGTTGTTTCTCCGACTAGTCACTAAGTTTCTTGCGTTCCTTCTCCTTACGTTGCCATCACTGTGTTCTTGACAGTGCCTAGTGCAGATTCTTGTTGAGTATATGAAAGTCTTATCCAAAAGGAAATGAAAAATCTGTTTCTGTTCACGAAAATAAAATATCCTCCCCACCCTGGAATCTTCTAATATGCATACTGGAGTCGAGAGTCATCCTTCTGTGTATTCCACAGTCGAGAGTGATTTGACAAGCTTTATATTCTGTAGCTTACTTATGAAAACAAATACTTCTTTTTCATCTTCTAAATATAAAGTAATATTATAATTTTCAAATAACCCTTCCAAATCAGTGCTGTGGGCGTTGGGAAGCCTTTGAGGTTTTTAAGTAGTTGCGTGAATGGAAGTTGGCTCCGGGTTTTGATGCTTGGTGACTGAGTAGAATAATCTGATGGCACTGATGAAGTCGAGGAGTCAGAGCGGTAGGGTGGAACAGGCTTCGGAGAAGGGCGGTGCAAATTCCCTCAGCCTGCAGCTGCAGAAGCTTGGTTCCCAGAAGGCCCAGGAGCCAGTCCCTGGCTGGCGGCAAAACTGGAACTGGGGTCTAGGTTGATTGCCGCCCATTCAGCTGCTTTCAGCTCCGTAGCGTATGGGTAGGGGGTCAGTATCCTGAGCTGGTTTGAGACCTCTTGAGTTTAAAATGACTCTCTGGCTTCCCAAGTGAAGATGTCCTGTAACCACATAATCAAGTTAGCCCTTCCTTCTCTGGTTGCAGAATTACCGAAGGCCGTGAAGAGTGCTGATCTCCAGGAGGCAGGGTCTGCAGGGTGCTTTGTGCAGCCTGTAGCTGCAGGCCCCTGAGCGTAACTGTCTAGTGTGAAAGTACAGTCACCTCCCAACTCCGCTGACTGGTTCCCCTCCGAGAGGTATAACGTGTGGGAAGGCGTATCTGTCAGTGAGGCTGTCAACTGTTTTGTTTTTTTTAAGTAAAGAAACTGTCTTATCCCATTAAGGTTTTGGAGTTGTTGGATTTTGAACTGCGAGAGAATTAGGGAAAGAGAAGTAGCTTGAAAAGATCACCTTGATAACATTTCTCTCTCTTTGCAATAGAATATAGGAATATGCCATGTATCGTGCAGTTGAGTCCATGGCCTCTGAGAGAGGTTGGTTTATTTAAAAGAAAAATAATCTATGCTCCTTTGTTATGAAAATGTTTGTTGCTCCTTCTGAGTGTCCTAGCAGCAAGGCCTGGCCTCCAGGATGTGAAGCTCATCTGGTGGGATGGCGTAAAGGGCTGTGGCCTGGGTGTCTAGGATAAGTGACAAACTAATAAGAACAGGATGAAAATAGGAATTTATCCTGTAATTCTTGCTCCTTTTCAGGTGCCATTTATATTGACCAGTACTGCAATCCTCTCTCCGACATCAGCCTCAAAGACATCCAGGCCCAGATTGACAGCATCGTAGAGCTAGTTTGCAAAACTCTCCGGGGCATCAACAGTCGACACCCCAGCTTGGCCTTCAAGGCAGGTGTGGAATTGCTTTGGATCCAGCTGTATTTGTAAAAGAACCTAGAGTAATTGGTTAATTTGTGAAATTCTGCAGTGTGTTCTCATCATGTCACAAAAAGGCAATCAACCACATGTTCACCTGAATAATGCAAAAGACTTGAAATACATATTCTTTTCTCCACGTGGATTGGCAACACCTGATGAGTATTGTTAGGACGTTACCATATTACGGGTTTGGGACACTCGTCACAGCCTTATTTGTGCTTATGTCCTCAGAGTAGATCTCTGTGTTTCAGGCGAATCCTCCATGATAATGGAAATAGAGCTCCAGAGCCAGGTGCTGGATGCCATGAACTATGTTCTTTATGACCAACTGAAGTTCAAGGGGAACCGAATGGATTACTATAATGCCCTGAACTTATATATGCACCAGGTAAATGTGGATATATTAAAAAATAATAATATTTTAAGCTCATCTCTGATAAACTGTATATTTCTTGAAAGCAAATACTGTGTCCTTTTCATCTCTCAATGCCCAGTGAAACTCATTTTTGCCTCTCCTGTAAGAACACTGCTGTGGATTTTATCTGTTTTGTCACCGAGTGTCCTCTATATGAAAACCCCTGAGAGAAATTCCTGACTGGAAATGGGTGTTTTTCTGACTCTGTCTTGTCAGCTGTATTGTATGAACAGCAGCGTGAAACTGATGAGGTCTTCTTTTTGCCCAGTTCCTGCAAAGCTGGAGACAGTCTGGCCAGCTATGTCATTGATGCTTAGTTTTTATTTGCTTCCTACTTGGCTCCATTTTCATATCTGTTCTTTTGCTCTATGCTACTTGTATTTTCTTTGGTCATATCTTACACACTTTCCTTGAAATGGCCTTCAATTCCTTCTGGAAGAAGGAGGGCCTAAAAATCATGAGTCTGCAGACTTCACCTGTAAAAGGCCAGACAGTAAATTATTTTGGCTCTGTAGGCCGTGTGCTCTCTGTCCTAGCTGCTCACTTCTGCCCTTGTAGTGTGAAAGGAGGCACAGACAGTACAAAACAAATGAGTATGGCTGCGTTCCAGTGAAGCTTTATATATGGACATGGAAATTAGAATTTCATATAATTTTCATGTGTCACAAAACAGTATTTTTTGACTGTTTTTTTAAACATTAAAAAAATGTTAAAACTCTTTATGCCTGCCATACAAAAACAGGTGGTAGGTGAGATTGGGCCTACGAACTGTAGTTTGTGGACCCCTGATCTAAATAAAGAAAATAGTCATCCACTTAAACCTTAAAACCTAACATCATGCCTGATGCACAACAGGAACCTCGTAAGAAAGTATATTGAAGGAATGAGAAGATATGGTTCATTTCTGTGAAGCTAAAGCATTGTTCTCTCCTTTAGGTTTTGATCCGTAGAACGGGAATCCCAATCAGCATGTCCCTGCTCTACTTGACAATTGCCCGGCAGTTGGGGGTCCCACTGGAGCCTGTCAACTTCCCAAGCCACTTCTTATTAAGATGGTGCCAGGGCGCAGAAGGGTGAGCCATCTCTGACTCGTTCTGGTCTCCACTGTGTTGAGAGCAAGTGTAACTCAGCTGAGGCTGAAGAGAGCACCAGGTGGTGATGGAACTGTTTTGTTTCTTGCCTGTCAGCATCGGTATTCTGGTTGTGGGACAAGGGCACTCTGGGTCTTCCTGTATTGTTTCTCACAGCTGCATGTGAATCTACTGTTATCGCAAAGTCAGAAGTTTAATTTTCCATAGGACTAGGAGTTCGAGGTCTTGTGGGGATCTCAAAGTCTCTTTGTTCCATAGCAGATCAGATCAAAGAGTTCTTAAAGACACTCTCAGTTTCAGTCTTCCATAAAATCTCCTCCCCCAGCCCCACACAAGGGTGGGGAGAGAACAGGGTAGCCAGATGCTTCATTCAACTACAAAGCGAATATTCGTGTTCTCATCGTCAGTGACGCTTGTTTTAGGCCAGGTTGGTGACTGATGTACATTTTCTAAAGCAGGTTAATGAGTTCTGTTTTGTTCTCTTTTTTAAACCTGGTGTCCTATTGGGCATAAAGCTCCTTTTCAGCTGTAGCCTAGCTTTTCTGAAAGAAATAGTTCATCAAATAGGTAGAAAAATCTTGTCTTTAAATGTGCCATTTAGAGGAAAAAGAAACAAAGTTATTTAATTATATCCTGTTCTTTGAAACTGCTTCCTAATGGCGAGCTGTGATAGCCTGTGGTAAAGTGATGAGCAGTCGAAAAGACGTCCCTGAGCTTTGAAGCCTGACTGGGTGTAAACCTCGGCTGCCTCTGAAGCCCACTTTCTTCCTCTGCAAAATGGGGCTAATGTTTTCCATAATATGCTTTGCAGGATTAGATGATGTCAGTGCTTTGCACAGCTAGTAGAGTTTCTGATGCCTACATAAAAAAATGGTACCTGGTCTCTGTATTTCTGCCTCCTAGTGTAAGAAAGAAGACCCATATGGAGTTGGAGCCTCCTGGGGATTCTTCCTTGCCCCTTTCTCCCTCCTCTCCTCTCCAGAGGTAACCACCAGTTAGTTTGCAAGTACTTATTATTTCTGTGCAAATTTTTACAGTTCGTTACCTTTATACATTTCTTTAAATACTGTGTCCAGGCTTCCCTTGTTTTCCAAATATGATCTGTTCTTAAAATGAATTGGATGCTTTCTTTATTGGATAGCAGGCACCCATTTTCCATTATTTTAAATGGGAAAAATGCTGTTTCAGCTCATTCCCTCTCCCTAAATTTTTTCTGTGCTGTCAAGTTGGCTCAGACTCCTAGCAACCCTGTGAATGAGTGCTGTCCACAGTGTCCCATCCTCAGCAGCCCGGCTCAGCTTCTGTAGACTCATGCCTGTGAATGAGTGATATCCACAGTGTCCCGTCCTCAGCAGCCCGGCTCAGCTTCTGTAGACTCATGCATGTGAATGAGTGATGTCCACAGTGTCCCGTCCTCAGCAGCCCGGCTCAGCTTCTGTAGACTCATGCCTCTCGGTGGCTTCCTTGATCAGTCAGTCCATCTCGTACTGGGTCTTCCTCTTTCCCCAGATCTCTCTAAAATGTTCTTAAATGCCTGTATAATAATCCACCGAGGATTTCTGCCTGATAGAAAGCATTTAAAACACCAATTACCATATTATTTACCACAGTGACTTATTATTGAGTACACTGGTGTGTGGTAAGAGGATCATTTTTCCTTTTTAGGCTACAATGAACAGACAGTACAGGGCAAACAAACAATGAAATCATTTGTTAACACCCCAGGCACTTGGCAGAACAAACGTTGAGACCCATAAAGGGCTCTGCCCTCAGGGACAGGCAGGGAAGATAGTGGGAGAGTGCACACTCGTGACCCAGCGGCTGGGCTGCAGGCCTTCGCGTCCTCGCTTGTCTGTACCTGCACTAGGGTCATGTCTTAATTACTGTGGCTTTGCCATTAGTCCTAGTTTCTGGTACGCTGAGACCCACATGGGGTTCTTCATAACTGCCTTGGCTCTTCTTAGCCTTTTGCTCTTCTGTAGATTCAGAAATCAGCCACGACTAGAAGGACCCACAACTAAAAATATACAACTATGTACTAGGGGGATTTGGGGAGGAAAAGCAGAGGAAAGAAAAAAAGATTGGCAACAGTTGTTAGCTCAGGTGCTAATCTGATAATTTGCTGAATAAATTATTAGTGCTAATAATTTGTCAACTCTTGCCTTTTCTGTGTGGACAGTCGTATTGTCTATGAATTGCATCAGTTTTGTTTCTTCATTCTTTCTAGTCCTTATGTGTTTTTCTTTCTTTTTTTTTTTTTAAAGATTTTATTTTTTCCTTTTTCTCCCCAAAGCCCCCCGGTACATAGTTGTATATTCTTTGTTGTGGGTCCTTCTAGTTGTGGCATGTGGGACGCTGCCTCAGCGTGGTTTGATGAGCAGTGTCATGTCCGCGCCCAGGATTCAAACCAACGAAACACTGGGCCGCCTGCAGCGGAGTGCGCGAACTTAACCGCTCAGCCACGGGGCCAGCCCCATGTGTTTTTCTTTCTTACACTTGTCTCACTCTGCTGGCTAGGTCCTCCTGTACAAAGTTGAATAGAAGGCACCTTTGCCTTAGATATGACTTCAAATGGAAGGCCTTTAAAATTTCACCATCAAGCACGATGTTTGGGGGCAATACCTTGCATTAGGATTATCAAAGCTGCCTTCTAAATTCCTGGTTTGCTAAGAGTTTATTAATAACTAGCCATTAGATTTTTTTTTATCCCCAAATCTCTTTTCTGTGTCTACTAATAAGATCATATGGTTTTTCTCTTTTAGTCTGTATGTGCTGAAATAGATTTCTTGATGTCCAACTCTCCTTTCATTCTTGGGGTGCATCTTACTTAATCTTATGGATTTTTAAAAATACATTGCTATGTTTGATTTGCTTATGTTTTATTTAGGATTTTTGCCTGCAGATTTGTGTGTATATGTGTGGTTCTCCTAGACTCATAAAAAGAATTGAAGAGCATTCCTTGTTTCTGGAACATTTATATATGTCTTGCTAAAGGTGGGCTATTAATATGACTCAAGGAAGAAATCTAACTGGGCTTTTTTAGCACCCGAGAGAAAATCTCTTACGTGATTTGTAGTGGGCATAAGATCAAAGCGAAACAGTTGCTCAAGAAAAAAAAACAGAACTACTCCTGAAGCAGACACCCCCACGTCCCCAAACGGCTCAGGAGTCCTCCTAGAGTGTACTGGGTAATGCCATGAGAACGTGCTCATGTGACCGCCTCCCACCACTCCACTCACACGAGAGCGTGGTTTGTGGACAGCGCTTCCACGGGAGGAGCAATGTGATCTAGTCCAGGGACACAGCTCTCCGTGGCCTGGAGCATGTTCCCAGCCTGAGGCCATGATGGGCTCGGCAGACCTGTGACCACCTGAACTTGTCTGCAGAATATCTGTGGGTCGGAGCGCTGTGACTTGTCTCATAGCCTCCAGGGGCCCGGGATCCGCAGACGTTCGCTAGTGCTAATCTGTGGAATTAATCCAGGGAACGCCTCAGGCATTCCGTAAATACTCTCTCAACCAGACTTGTGATAGATATTCCTGGCAACGAGTTTTAAAATTAATCTCCCTAAAAAACTGTATTAGATGACATTTATCAGTACTGTTCCTTAAATATCAGCGTATTGCAATGTTAACACGGTAGTAGGTGTATAAAAGGTCAGAGTTTAAACTTGAGACCTTGATATTTTAAGTAGCAATGCTGCTGTGTTAACATTTAGTCTCTGACTTGAGCTGCTTGTTGGGGTTTAGATCTTGCCTTGTCTGGCTCTAATCTGAGGTTGGCTAACTGCGCGCACTCTTGGATAGGGCGACCCTGGACATCTTCGACTACATCTACATAGATGCTTTCGGAAAAGGCAAGCAGCTCACAGTGAAAGAATGTGAATACTTGATCGGCCAGCACGTGACCGCAGCGCTGTACGGGGTGGTCAATGTAAAGAAGGTGTTGCAGCGAATGGTGGGGAACCTTTTAAGCCTGGGAAAGCGGTAAGGTTTTTCTGGTTTGCCAGTACTTGTGCGAGTGTGTGTCTCTGGAGGCTCAGAGTGCCTTACCGAGGACTGTACTTAATGAGCCTGCCTATGATGTGGCCGGGCAGTGGCTGCTGGGTGGCACACTCGGCATATCCGCACCGTCTGCCCACTGGGGAAAACACTGGTCCCCGTGACACAGTGCTATCCAGATTTAAGATGTGCTAAGTGACTGCTCTGAGATCTCTGCAGTGGACCTGGGCACGTTCTCCTTACAAATGCTGAAAGCATTCTTCTGAAACAGGAATATCTGAGACTGGCACAGATTATTTTGGGGGGGCAGGCTGTTCTCATGTCCAACTGCTTAGTCATCTTTTAATTTTTACTTTCTTATCACTTTGATAAGAAAACAATCAAAAGTATGACACTGTCTTGCTTCTGAGTCAAAGGAAATTTGTCTTCAGGGAAAATAGAAGGTTGTACTTTGTAGTAATAGTTTTCTGCCTACTGGCAGAATTCTTTTTTTTTTAAATAGACTTTATTTTTCAGAACAGTTTTAGGTTCAGCAAAACTGAGCAGAAGGTGCAGAGAGTTCCCATACATCCCTGCCCCCACACATGCACAGCCTTCCCTGCCGTCACCGTCCCCCACCAGAGGGTTCATGTGCTACAGTTGACAGGTCTCCATTGAGACGTCATTGTCACTCGGAGTCCACAGTTCATGTTAGGGTTCACTCTTGGTGGTGTACGTTCTGTGGGCTTTGACAAATGTATATGCCACGCGTCCACCGTTAGAGTATCATACAGAACAGCCTCGTGCCTGAAAAGTCCTGTGTGCTCCACATACTCAGAATTCATTACAATTACGTCCAGTGTGATTGAGGTGACTACACAATGAACATGCTTCTGATTTTAATTTGGTGCCCATTGCCAGAGTGGGGTCCAAAATTTATATTTCTTGTGTATTTTTTTTTATTAAGAGCATTGTAACTATTTGCTGAACAGAAAGGAAGAATCAGAATGATAAAACATATGGACTTGTGTCAATTACATTTCAAACCTGGGCCTTGAACAAGAGGGTCTTGGCTCACAAGCAGGCGGGGTAAGACAGATTTCTTCCCCCCAGGGAAGGCATCGACCAGTCGTACCAGCTCCTCAGAGACTCGTTGGATCTGTATCTGGCGATGTACCCGGACCAGGTGCAGCTCCTCCTCCTTCAAGCCCGGCTCTACTTCCACCTGGGAATCTGGCCAGAGAAGGTAATTATTTTACCTTGATGCGTTGCACTTGCCTTAGAGAGGGAAATCCCAGCTTGAAAGGCGGCTCTTAAAAGTTTATCCTTGTACTAAGAAGGGAGATAAACACAAATCTATCCCCAGTCTCCCAGTCTTGACCCATCAGTTGAATTTTTTTGTCTCCTTTATTCTAATAAAAAACTGGTTCTGTTGCCAAAGAGTTCTCTTTGTGGTCAGTGCCTTAAACTCCCGGAACCGTAAGGCCTCTGCCCTGCCACTCACCCACTGGTGCCCCACAGGTGTGTTTTCCCTGTGTCACCCTGACTCAGCAACAGGGAAGCAAAATTTTAAATGTTCACCGTCCAGCTGTGCTGTTAGAAACTTAATTGAGCATACATAAATACCCCTGCTTGACGTGGGGAAATTAGATCTCAGGTGTGTTCAGTCCGCCTGCTGACTGTCTGAGAGACGGGAAGTCTCTGAGAACTGTTCGATTTGGATGCTGTCCGAGTGGATTTCTCAGCAGCCCGTGTGCCCGCAGCAGGCGCTTTCAGAAGGCCACTGTGCTCGAGGCAGCGCTGCTCCTCAGCGAGCTGTGCGTGTGGCACGTGTAGGAGCGGCTGCACATTTCCATCACGCACTTGTTTTTCCACAAGAATACATTGTTAATCTGTTCTGTTTGTTTAGAACTGCCTGATGAGAGAATTGGATCCTGAGCTCTCATAGGGACATCGCCATAAAATCATCTGCCCGTATCGTTGGAGAGTGGGAAAACCTTCCTCGAGAGAGTAAATAGTCTAAACAACATTGTTTAGATTTAGCTAGTCTCGTTTATCCACAGCTCAGAGACCTAAAATAGTTCTGCAAAAGGACACATGAGTAGGAAAACCCCTAGGCTCCTAGGATGCCGTCTGTGGCCCAGGTGGCAGGTGTCCTCCCGGAACACCCTGTGACCGGGAGGAATCATGGGAAAACGAGGCTCTGCGGAAGCCACCACCACCTCCCAGAACCTGCTGTCCAGGAGCCCACTGTTTATTTCTATTTTTTCACTTCATTTGTTTTTAATACTAGGATATACATACTTTTTACTTTCCATTATTTAAGGAATTTCATGGTAACTTGTAAAATGTGAGATGGTTGTAAAGCACGGTTCTTTATAAGTGAGTTCCGTACTTCAGTTACACGTCAGCCATTGACAGGCTACGGCTGACGGGAGGTCTGCAGGCGCTCTGGCGTCCTTTCCTTCCTTCGACCACTGACTTAGTCTAGTGCCCACACTGTAACGCTGCCTCCTGGGGAGTTACCTCAGTACCCCCCTCAGATGGTCAAGACTGCCTTTCTGCCAAGCAGCTGTCACTAGAACAAGTTCCCAACTTGTTACATGCAGAAGAGTTTTCCTCATGACAGCCATTTGTCTGCTGCTGGGGTCAAGCACCTCGGCCACCCCTCATTTGGAGATCGGGAATGAAAAGTGACTCGTCCGCCATGCATCAGACTCCCCCCAACAAACACGCACTCCAGCAAGGGGGACGACACCCCAGACGGCGAAGGAAAACTGGGGCCTCCCGACGGGCGAGAATCCAGGGGGTGCTGAAGCACGTAGAAACGGTTCCTCTCCAGAGGAACCATTGGAGGTGACCTTGAAGGATGGGAAACACTCAGAGGGCAGACAAGTGGGTCACTGCACTTACCGCCTGGGCATGGCACAAGGTGGCAGAGCTCGGTGTCTGCAGAGGGGGTCAGCTTAGCAAGGGTCTATGTACACACACGTGCGCATGTGTGCCTGTGAGTGTGTGTCTACCTTTTCAGGGTGTGAGATGAGTGTGGAGGGCTTAGAAGCTTTTTGAGTTTATTAGGTAAAGGGAAGCATTCCTAAACTGGGAACACCAGAAGGTTGTTTTCAGATGAATTAAATCAGAAAAAGCTAAGAAGTACTAGTCCACTTGGTCACTATTTTCATACTCCAGGGTTATTGTGGCTGCGATGGAAATAGTGTAGGATGGTCAAACTTTAAAAAGTCGCTAACACTTACTGAACACCTCATTCCAGCCCTCTGGGGTGGACACTGTTTTTTGCCCTATTACAGATAATGAAACTGAGGCACCAGGAAGTTAAGTAATTTGTTGAGGTCTCCTACGCAGGAGTTCAACCCGGGCCGTTTGGTGCCCGAGCCCAGCCACACCCTGCACTCCGTGGGACAGTGGGCCAAGGCAGGATTGCTTCAGAAAAAGCCAGCAGACAGGCACTTTCTGCTTCCTGCTGCCAAGCCTGCAGCCTTATTCTGGTCCGTGGTTATCCCTTCCCACTAGCTCTACATTTCGGTGGAGACGATGTCCCTCCTGTTTCCTAGGCAGAAACTCCTCCGTGCTTAGATCCCACTCTCCTGCCTTTTCACGGACTACTGTTTTCCTTTATTTCTTCTCCTGTGTCTTCAGCTTTCTCTTTCTACTGTGTGCTGTCAGCATTAAACATATGCAGGTCTCTCCTATCTTTGGGAAAAAAAAACAAAAAGTCCTCCCACGGCAGCCCTGCTGGCATTTCCCTGCGGATCCCTCCTTATCTCTCTGCTCCCTGCACAGCTAAGATCCCCACTCGCTGGCCATGCGTGTGACCACACTGCGACGGCCACCTGCCTCGCTGCCCACGCACTCCTCAGAACACAGGGATCCGTTCCCACCCCTCCTCCATGGGAGCTGCTCTTGCCAAGGAAGCCAGTGACCCCTTTTTGCTAAATCATTCTCCTTGTGCCAGATCCAGTAGATACTTATCTTTCCTTGTCTTGATCACTGGGGGCCACTCCCCACTCAGCACACTCTGTTCCTTTGACTCTGGGCCCCTGGGTCCCAGGATCGTGCTAGTTCCTGTCCTCCGTCTCTCCCTTAAAGGCTCCACACTGGAGGGTAGTTTCTGGACTTCTCTTTATCTGCACCTTTCCCCCAGGCAATCTCACCTCATCCCCTTCGTTCAGTTATCGTCTGTAGGCTGATAGCTGCCGAGTCCTTGATCTCCTGTCGACCCTGGGCTCCAGACCGACCTATCCAGGTGTCCACCATACATCTGGGCATGGCTGTCTCCTAGATTATTGCGGAGGCCTCCTGCATGGCCTGCTTCCCTCTGCTCTTAGACTCTTTGAACCGTCTTATACACTGTAGTCAGAGTAATACAGTGTCGGTTGTGTGTCTTCGCTGCTCAGAACCCTCTGAGTGGCTCCCCCATTGCCTTAAAGATAGGTGTTCTCTCCAGTGTGACCTGCCAGGTTCTTGGCGGTCTGGCCCTGCCGGCCTGAGCCTCCTTGTACTCTGTGCCACCACAGCCACACCCTCCATTTGCCCCTGCTCTCTTGCGTCAGTCGTTTGCACGTGCTGCATCTCTGCCTAGAACCCCTCTCTCTGTCCCTTGACTCCATCTCTGGGCTGACTTCTGCCGAGTCGTCAGCGTAAACCTGAGCCTCTGAAACCCTTCCCTGGCACCCCTGCCTGAGGTCAGCTTCTTCCGTCGTGCCAGCCCTGTGCTTGCCCTTTCACAAAACTTTTTTTAAGTGTGTTGTAGCTGCTCGTTGAACCGTCTCACTGGACTGTGCTCTGTAAGGACAAGGACCACATCTGTTTTGTGCTTCACTGTAGCTGGTCCTCTTGCTCTCAGCACAGTTCCTGCCGCACAGTAGATGCTTCAAGCTCTTTTTGAATGAATGGTTAAGAAATGACAGAACTTCACTAGATATGAATGGGGGAGAAGGCTCAAAGAGGATATCCAGATTTCCCAAAAGGGTGACTGGCCACGTTAACAGTGGGTATTTGGAGAACAGACCTGTTTTGGGGTAAAGAAAGTGTTCCGTTTGGGGGATGCTGACTTTGATAGGACCTGGAGCCATCGAGTGCCGCATCCTAGAACATTTGGCACGGGCTCCTGGCATCGGCATGTCGTAACTGAAGCCCCGAAACTGGAAGAGCCGCAGACAACGCAGGCTTCATTGGCCTACAGCCATGCCTATTCGCCTACTTATTGTCCCTGGCTGCTTTCCAGCTACAGCGGCAGAGGTGAGCGGTTGAGTCAGAGACCCTAGGGCCCACAAAGCCTAAAATATATATTCTGGCCCTTTACAGAAAAAACTGCCAATCATAGGTGATAGACCCCCTGTTCGAAGATCTCCGCCCCGAAAGTTGTGGACTCTTGGGGTTCTAGGTTTGGACATTGGGTTGGAGACCTGGTGCCCAGCTGTCAGCACGGTCCTTTGGGAGCACGCTCGGCCCCATATGACCATACCATAGCCGTTCTGCCCTCTGCCTTCACTGCCCCCGACACATCAGGAGAAGGAGGGACTAATTATCCCTCAACCTTATCTCCTCTGCTGCTCTGAGTCTGAAACTTCCTTGGGCTTTGAAGATTCCAGGTTATGTGTGTTTCACTTCTCTGGTGGGGAGGGGCTGCTAGGAAGGGAGGGAAGCTGTGTCTGTAGGATGTAGCAGAAGTGTGGTGAAAAGTAGCTAATTGGAACTGCAGAGGGGCAGGAGGAAGGCTGTTACACAGCCTGGTAAACAGAAGCTTGCTGCTAAGTCTGATGCTTTTGGCTACTGAGGATAAATGTTAGTGTCCCCCAGTTAAAGTTACACTACTGCGGGTGGGAGCGGATGAGGATCGGCTCCCAGCTGATGCAGGATGAAGCTGGGTTTGGGGTACTTGGGGTTATACCGTTCTGTCCCTCTTCATGTGTTTGACATTCTTCATAACAGTTCATTAAAATTCTCCTCCTCTGGCTTTGGTATGACAGTGAGTGGGACCTAGGGTTTATCGGCCCTGGGTCCCCGTCCTCTCTCCACATCTTCATAACCCCGTGGCTGGGCGAGTGAATTACCTTCACAAAACCTGCTTCCTCCTCTGGAAACTGAGTGACTATACTGCTGCCCTTCAAGTCGGGAGGATTAAAGGAAATTTAAAATGTGCCAGGCTTGGCACAGTGACCAGTGGAGAGTAAGTGTTCAGTACATATTGAGAGCCTGCACAGCTCAGCCTGGAACACAAGACTGGGTTCTGGAATAATAATATCTCACATTGCATAAAACTGTGGTTTTCACAACACTTTTACTGGGTCAGAATATATCAGGAAATAGGGCAGTTATTAATCATCATTGGATAAGTGAATAAACTGATTCAAAGGTAAAAACAGTGAGTTTGATGGATCTGGGACTAGAATCCAGGTTGCTCTGCCTTGGGACTCAGTAAATAGGAGGCAGTCCTGTTTCCCAAGGAGAAGCCTGTCGGAGCCCCCCTGCTAAACGCTGTAATATAATGGGTGCCAAATAATTGTGTGTGCGCATCTTAACTTTATTTGAACTTATACTTTCCTGTAGACGCACCAGGCACAGTAGAAAGAATGTAACCTTGGAGTCAGGCAGTCCTGCTTCCACCACCTAGTCGTTTAAATTCCACAGAGATGTGGTCTGTCCCTGCCCAGTGGAATGCTGGATTCCATCGTGAGTTAAAATCGTTGAAATGACCAGTAGGATTTCAGAACCCTGATGCACGTCTTTGTTCAAGTGTCACATCGTAACTGAGCTAATTTGCATTGTTCCGGTGGCCTCTCTGTGACCCCTTCCATCTCGGCAGCTCTGAGGCAGTTCTATCAGACGTCCTCTTGATCTCGATTGAAGCAGCTTAGCGTTTATTTTTCCTCCCAATTCGTGAGTGGCAGGTTAAAATTTTTCCTTTCTGTGTATAAAAACTTGAGTCCCCACACTGACCAAGAATGTTAGAACCTTTTAGAGTTCACCCAATCTAACGTGCCCGTAGAAGGCAGACCCTTGCCTCCTGACCTCATGCTTCTTCCAGTCCACTGTGTTTCTAAACATTCCTTACGTTCACGCCGGCTTCACTTGGCTGTCTGGGGCCAGTTCCCAGTATGAGAAGTGAGTCGCCAGCCAACTCTGGGTGCCATACATGCTGACTGGGAGAGCCCGCCGGTCACGGAGACCCAGCTGTCAGCACGCCCGCCTTGCCGTCCTTTGTCAGGTTATGTAGGTCTAAATCCTGTGCAAGGAAAAAGAAAAGGCCTAAATGAAAATATTATCTCCTAGTCTTTCTGTCTTGTCTTGAAGGTGCTTGACATCCTGCAGCACATCCAAACCCTAGACCCCGGGCAGCACGGGGCGGTGGGCTATCTGGTGCAGCACACGTTAGAGCACATTGAGCGCAAGAAGGAGGAGGTGGGTGTGGAGGTGAAGCTCCGCTCCCACGAGAAGCACAGGGACGTCTGCTACTCCATCGGGCTCATTATGAAGCATAAGAGGTGAGTGCCCCACGGCGGCCGGCCAGCCGCACGTGGCCGCAGAGGACACGCGTGCCTGTGAGCAGCGCTTCTCGGGAGCGGCAGTGACACGCCTGAAGGGGGCCTCCTGGATGCAGCGACTGGTGCCCCTGCAGGAAGGACCAGCATCTGTACCTTTACCCTTCCTGTTTTCTAAGAAGGAACTTGCTTTCCTAGCTGGGAGATGGTCTGATGTTTTTAGTGACCTTTAGACGTCTGACCCTTCTCTGTGTGGGAAGATGGAGCAACTATGAGCAAAGAGTTTTCTCTCATTTCTTCTGTCAACCTGTTGACAGACAGAAACCAGTTTAAGAGGCAGAGCGTTTATTTGGGATCAAAGAATTGCAGTTTGGGGAACACAGATTCAGTAGTGTCCCACTGAAGAGTAAGTCAGGGGCTTTTAAAGGCAAGGAAGGAAGATTGTGTTACAAAGAATTTTAACTGGCGTTGGAGGCGTTGAGCTAGTCCTGGCTAAACTGACTGCCCGTTGATTCCGTCTGTGGAAAGTCCACCATCCTCAGTCTGTGTGATCAGGACATCCATTCTCCTGCTGACTTCTCAGATAATTGCCTGTAAAACAGTTGCCGTTGTGGACCAGTCCAAAGGTGTGGGCCAGTCCAAGCCTCAAGACAGCAAGCCAGTTTTTCTGGAAAGGCGGCTCTGACTCCATTTTCAAACAGCTCCACTAAAGGCAGTTTTGACCCTGACCCTTCCTTGTCCTTACTCTCTTCTTTTAACCTCGCCCTCCTTGAATGTGAGATGTGGGTAGGGATTTCCTGGATTGTAGGGTATGCTCTCGGTCGCTTTACTGGGCAAAACTACACCACCTGAAAGGCGAATGCACTGACTCACATCCCACCAGCAGGCTCGGAGCCCAGAGCTCCTGTTCTCGCCGACTTGTGTCATTGCCAGACCTTTAAAAATGCACTGATGTGGGAAATGGCAAATGGTATCTTGTCATGGTTTTAATTTGCATTTCCCTGATTACTACACAGATTGAGTTTACCAGCCATGCAAGTTTTCTTTTACTAAGCACCTCGTCAAGTGTTTTGCTTATTTTTCCATTGAGTTATTAGGCTTTCTTATTGATGTTAATAGTTCTTTATTCTGTATACTAGTCTCTATGTGCAGATAAGTTGCAACTCTCTTTTCCCAGTTTTTGTTTTGTTTTGACTTTTTTTTTTTTGAGGAAGATTAGCCTTGAGCTAACTACTGCCAGTCCTCCTCTTTTTGCTGAGGAAGACTGGCCCTGAGCTAACATCCCTACCTATCTTCTCCTACTTTATATGTGGGACACCTACCACAGCATGGCGTGCCAAGTGGTGCCATGTCCGCACCCGGGATCCGAACCGGCGATCCCCAGGCCTCTCAAGCAGAACATGCGAACTTAACTGCTGTGCCACTGGGCCAGCCCCTCTTTTCCCAGTTTTTGGCTAGTGTTTTTCATTCTTTTTTTTTAACTGTGTTATGGAAATTTCAAACATATATAAGAGCAGAGAGATGAGTGTAAGGAACCAGGCGATGTTCCCATAACCAGCTTCAACAGTCATCATACGAGGGCAGTCCTCGTCTCACCTCCACCCCCATGTCCTCCTCCTCCTCCCTGGAAGCAATGCCAGATGTCATTTCATCCACAGCTATTTCTGTCTGTCTCTAAAAGGTAAGGGTGCTCTCTTTTTAAAGATACGTTCATCATCCTGTTGTCATAGCTAAGAAAAAATAAACAATTCCTTAACCTCATCAAATATCTGGTCAGTGTTCGCATTTCCCCAGTTGTCCTGTATTTTTTTTATAGTCTGTCTGAGTCAGGGTCTCAATGCTGTCATTGATCAGTCTCTCCCTTTACGGACTGTATTTTTAGTGTCTTCTTTAAGAAATCTTTCCTCATCTCAAGTCATGAAGATATTTTTTAAGGTCTGCATTTTACATCTAGGTCTTAGTTCTAAGAACTGATTTGTGTATTGTCAGGCCTGGGTCCTGATAGCTTTTTCCGCTTGGATAACCGTTTTTGTCCCATCACTCTTTGTTGAAAGCTTATTCTTTTCCAAGAGAAGTGCTGTACTGATAAGACGAGTTTATAAAGAGGGGCGGGAGTGTCCTGAAAAATGGTTCAACATGGGGTAAAAGCAGGTAAATTTGTAGAACTGTGGACTTAAGAGGGGCCAACCCGTTGTCTATACTTTTCAGAGTTGCCGAGACAGGGTCCCAGGAGTTGATTTGCCGTGTTCTTGTGTTAATTAGGTATGGCTACAACTGTGTGATCTATGGTTGGGACCCCACCTGCATGATGGGACATGAATGGATTCGAAACATGAACGTCCACAGCCTGCCTCATGGCCACCATCAGCCTTTCTATAATGTCCTGGTGGAGGATGGTTCTTGTAGATATGCAGCCCAAGGTGAGTAGCTAGTGCTGTCTGTACTTTTAATGACACCCGGGCGTATTTTAAGAACTCATTTGAGCACTCAGATACTGTGGGCACAGGTCATCAGTTTTTTCATAAGTGGCACTTGTCCCGTGACTCACCTCCTCAGGGCCGATAGTCAGCTAAACGTGGTGGGTGTGCTCTGGTGTGGGCATCCCATGAGTTAAATAGTCACCGCCACAGCGTCTCCCTGTCAGTCACCACCACAGCCAGGACCCTATTCCAGTGCTGTTGCTGACCTCTCTTCTAATTGGGCATTGCCTTTGCCAATCAAATTCCCATCAATCCTACTTCCCAGGCCCTGCCATTGGCTCCCTCCAGGCAAGGAGGGTCAGCTTGTGCCCTGCCCGTACTGCCTGCCTGAACTGGAGGGCATTGAATGGACACTTGGGGGAGCCACCCTAGCACCCACTGGCCTCCTGAGACTGGCAGCCAGCTGTGCTCTCGCAGAGACGCCCTCGAGTGGCCACTGTGGGGACTGCAGTCCACAGCACCAGCTCCAGGAGCACCTGGGAGGGTCAGCTGGTGCTTGGTAGGTGTTTGGGGCTAGCCCAGGGCACTCGTGGGGCGGAGACAGATGGAGCCTGTGGGGGCAGGTTAGAGACAGATGCCCTGAGGGCGGGTCTCCCCTTTCTCAGTCCCTCCATTCTGCGGGATGCATCTGTTGCAGGCCTGCCTGTCAGGGCTTTCACAGCATGCACTGTATTGATAAAAATGAACATGAACACTGGCGTATGCTGCTTGGCCTCGGGCAGCGTTCTGATGTGCGTGACTTCCGTTGGAGAACACGATCGCCGTCGTCCGCCTCATTTTATACACGAGCAGTCTGCAGCACATGGAGTGCTTCAATTCTAACCTCAGGGTGAATCGGAACCCGGGTGGCTTGGCACAGAGCCACGTCCTTGACCATCGTGCTGCGCCTTTCTGTGTCTGACCCACAGCCTCAGGTTTGACCCTGCTCAAGGTTGTGTCAGGGGAAATGCAATCACAGAAATACTGGGTGTGTAAAAGTCTCAGAAGTATCAGAAAGACTAGAAAAAGTTTCACGTTAACTATTGGTAACTTATCAGAAGCTGAGAGAGGATCGTATACATTGCCGGGAGTTCTGCTCCTGGAGACGACAGGTCGCGCTGCAGTGAGAAATTACAAGAGGGCGTGATAGGTGCCGCCTCCAGTGAAGGCGCTGACGGTGCTTTCACTTAACTTTGAAGCTGTGTCAAATAAAAAACCATACTGACGGTTTCTAGAAACCAACAAATGGTTTGGAAATTATAGAATGGTTCATGGACCATTTGCACCCCCACTCATCACTCTGCACGTTTCACAGTCCACCTCATAGCGTGTGTCACAGGAGTGAAGGGGACGGTCGTCAGCACTGTGGGCCGGTGTCGATGGCTTCACCGTGGGCATTCATCCATTGCCCATTATGTAGGGTTGATATTAAGACTTTCTGTATTTAGTATTTGAGTTCCTGGAAACATTTATATTAACTTAAAAATGGGCTTTTTAGAATAGGTGGAACTGGGTATTTGGTTTTAGGTGTTGTGAATTTGTCCAGTGTCTATGGTGAAGATTCAGGAATTTGTCTCTAATCGTATCTTACATAAAAGTGCAATGTAAGTTTTAGAGTCATAATATTGCAATGACTTTGTAAAAAAATTTTATCTTGTTGTCAGCTTTATGCTCTTAAAGTTGAGATTGAACTAAGTGATTGTGGGTAATGTTAGCAAATTACCTTTTTTAATTTTAAATTCTGAGACCCGTAGAAAATTCTTGGAACTGAAGCGCTGGTATGCCACACGGTAGCTGTCCGTCTTTGTCCGCCAGCGGTTCTGTTGGCCTCAGTCAGTGTTTCTGGGCGTCTGTTGGGTGCCAGCCGGGTGCTTGGCAGCAGGGGTGTGGACATGGAGAGGCGCGTCCTCGTAGCTCCCTGCAGAAGGACCTGACGTGACGTGGGGCTCCCCGGGGCCCTCTCAGGTCTTGTGGCCTCGGTGACTGTTGATATGCTGGTGCCATAATCTCAAAGCCTCGTTTCCATCCCCTGCTCCTCTCTGGGCCCATGCCCACCTCTCCAGCAGCCCCCTAGGCATCTGCACTTGGAGGCGCTCAGCAGTGTTGCCAGCTGAACTCGTCTTGCCCCTCCCTTGTACCCACCCCAACCTGCTTTTCCCATCTCCTCAAGTATTGCCACCTGGGCACCATCTCTTACTTCTCTGTCCCGCCCCTCATCATACATCAAGTCAGTCGACACATCACATTGTTTCTGTCTCCTGAACGCGTCCCTCGTGTTTCCATCTACTTATCTCCATTCCTGTCGCCCTCCTCTCTGTGCCATAACTATCTCTTGCCTATGTTGCGCCAGCTTCCTGACTGGTACCTGCCTCCAGACTAACCCCTGCATAGGGCGTTTTCCTCAGCAACAGCTAAAGGATCTTTCCAGCGTGCACTTTGGACCAGGTCATTTGTGGCTTAAACTACCTGTCAGGAGTGTCTTAGTAGCAGACCAGACTCCTTTGCGTGGCCCAGAGGTAATCTAGACCCTCTCCCACAACTCCTCTGTTCCCATCCCTGTCATACTCCAGCCGGATCAAGCCTCGATGTTTCTTGAGATCGCCATTCTCACAGGTGGCTGTCCCTCACAAACAGGCTGTTTCCTCCTGCCTTGCATGCTTCAGGTCCTGCTTCACGTTTAACGTCACTTCCTTCAAGACGCTGTTCTCACCCCACCCTTCCCCCTCTACCCCCACACTGGGCCGTCTGTCCCTGCCCCGCACTCCCTGAGCACCCTGCCCTCTGAGTCCCTGCGCCCTCACGTCCAGGACTTCCTCTCGGACGGCCTGGCTGCCTCGCTCCATCCTGAGCTCCCTGAGTGCAGAACCGAGTCTGCCCTGTTCACTGAGGGATCCCTAGCCCCCTGGGTCATTCCAGACAACACCTAAGTGCTCCCATTCGGCTGGAGGGAGGGAATCCCTGTCTGAGAGAGAGAGATGCTTGTAAACAGAAGTTCAGAACCATGAGGTGAGTGCATGTAACGTGTGGTGTTTTGCAATTTTGGATTAAGAGCACTTTCAGACAGTGAATACCCTGTATACCCACCACTACATTCAGCAGGTAGCATTCACCATATCTGTTTCATCTGTGAAAAGAGATTTTTGTTTTTTGCTGAACCATTTGAAAGAATATTGCAGACGTCATGACCTAAGTGCTTAATCATGCTTCTTCTAAGAGTAAGGACGTTTCTTTGCATTACCACAGCTGCATCATCACAGCTAACAAACAGAAATTATTTCGTAATGTCTGATATTCGGTCAGTATTCAAATTTCCCAGTGGTCTCAAGCATAACTTTTACAGCTGTTTGTTTGTTTGCTTTTAGATCCTGGTCTAACCAGGAGGCGTGCCTTGCATTTGGTTCTTGTGTCCCCTAGTCTCTTATTAAAGAGCAGTTTCTCATTCTTCATCTTGTTTTTTCTCTTTTTCACAGGTCTTTGACTTTTTAAAGAGTCCAGCCCAGTTGTCTTGTAAATCGTCGAACATTCTGGGTTTGTCTTGCCGTGTCCTTACCTGTGTGTTGTGTGTAAACTGGCAGGTCTGCCTGCGGCCTGACTAGCTCGGGCTGATGTTTTGACGGAGTACTTACTGTCGGCTGCTGTGCGCCTCACCTTGCGTCTCGTCCAGAGGCCCATGGTGTGCTGTGTCCCACTGCCACTGCTGCTCTGTTCCCTCTACTTCTGCAAACAAGAGCATTCCTCCCTCCTTCTCCGCTGTCTTCCTCTCTCCCCCTCTCTCCTTCCCCCTTCTCCCATAGACTCCTGGGTTTTTACTTAGTCACTGTGTTATGATAATTTGGGACAATTTCATGCTCAAACTAGCTCATATTTAGCTGCTGGGAGACCTTGAGAGGCTAAATATTAAAAATACTTATGTTTTTGAGCATTTCTGGGTTAGTTTATTTGCATTGTTATTTGTTTTTAAACTTTTTCTTGATCTAAATTTCTGACTTTTAGCTCTGGTGATCCTAGTAACCTGGGTAGAACCCATTAATGAATGCTTTTCTAATTATTAGCTCTCCACAGAGAGTTCAAGAGTGAATTATAGGCCACATACATACATGACATCTTCACGTAATTTTAATCTGCACAATTAAGAGAGAATTTTTCCTTCATTATGTTAGAGTTCACCTAAATCCTAATGGGATATACAGCATCTTGTGTATTTATAATTTTTCTTCCCACTAGGGGGCATGCTGTTATGCTTTCTTGGCACAGGTAGGAGAGGAGCAACTCCTGTCTCCCCATCCTCCCTACTTTGCTACTACGGAAAATGAATTTCACAGATGCTCTGAATTCAGGTCAGCTGCCCGCATCGGAAGGCCAGGAATTCAACTGCAATGCGAAGATCTAATTCTTGCATATGTTCTGTCTGTAGTGATGGGGCACCTTGTAGAATGCTTGGTGCATGCAGTGCCCTCACCACATGTTAGTCTCCTCTCCCATAATTTGTCCTACACTTCCAAGCTAAGGTTTCCGACACACACACACACACACACACACACACAGAGTCCATGGCAGTCTTCACATGCTGGCACGTGTGTGAGATTTCCTACGTTGGGTGGAGTGTAAATGTTCAGCCATTTCAGAGGGCCGTCTGGCTCTGTCTTTTAAATTGTAAAAATCTCAAGTGCTCCTTCTCTGACCTGGCTGTTCCACGCCTGGGTCTCCCCACTAGAGACACGCTCACACATAGGGCCTGTGGTCCCCTTGTTATAATAGCCACACCGCGTCATTCGTAAGGGCTTGCCTGGTAGACTGGGGTATATCCAAACTATGGAATATTCAGCTGCAATGAAATAAACCAGTTGCAGGTAAATGCTTATGGTATATTTGGTATAAGTAGATACACATAAAACAATGCCGATTTTCTTTAAGTATCTGTAGTTGGGTTTAGCTACTCTGTGTGTGTTCGTAGAACAGGGACTGGAAGGGTCCACTCCCGCTGACGGTGGTTTCCTCTCGGGAGGGAGGCGGGGCAGGGACCAGGACAGGACCGGTGCCCACGAGGACTCCTCGTGCAGTTTCCATGGTTTTTCGGGAATTTATGCATATATTTTGGGGTAGCTGAAATTTTAAAATAAGCAGATACATTTCTCTGAAAATTTCAAGGGAACCAGAAAGACTTCTCGAGATTTTTCCAGGACTTTTAAGTAGTCCTGTTGAATGATTAAGTTTTGTCTCACTTAGATTTTTTTGTTCTTCTTCAAGTAAATTTTCTTAAGCCGTATTTAGTGGATTGGTATTTATTTCCCCCTCCTAATGTATGTATCGCCAGCTTCATTATCTTGTTTTCTCCTTAAAAAAATTTGCCGTTTTGCTGGAAGCGTAGGCAGGTCAATGCACTGAATCTGGTCCGCGTTGCTCTCTCACAGCCAGGAGCAGGGCTGTGAGCAGCCTCTGGACTACTTACCCTTTACGTGCTTTCCGATATTCTGCACATTGCACTCTTCAGGCTGCGTGTGTGGGGCCCACGTTCAGAATCCTGTGCAGCAGCTGAGGGTCAGCTTGTCCTTCCAGATCCGTGATAATAACCCGACTGCTACCTTTCTGTCCTCTTCCCAACACTCAGAACCTAAGTATTAGGCGACACCAAGGTGTGCTGTTTGATAATACATGGGGGCGGGGGGGAACAATGCTAAAACGTGTGTGAGTTTCTGTGGAGCAGGCACAGTCGGCATTTTGGTCTAGACAGTTCTCTGTGGTGAGGGCTGTCCTGTGCATTCTGTAACAGCACCCCTGGCTTCTGCCCACTCCATACCAGTAGCAGCTCCCGCTTGTGATAACCAAAACTGTCTTCAGACGTTGCCGAATGGCCCAGCAGAGGCAAAATAGCCCCCGGGTGAGCACCACTGCTCTGGACACACTGGGAGCAAAGCACTTGTTCTCACTCACCCACTGGAATTTTCCCTGAACTCTCTCTTTCCTTCCTGCCCAGGCCAGGTGACAGTGGTCCCTTCCGAGCAAAGGGACTTCAGTCTCCTGGTGGCACTCCCAGAGTCTTTCACCTTCGTTAGTTCTGCATACCTCTGCGAGAAAACCCAGGTGTGAGGCCCTCAGCAGTGACCTGGGCAAGGCACAGGCTGTGGTTACGTCCCGCTCAGCCTCCCCGAGGAGGGTCACCCGTGCTGCTTTGGTCCATGGAGACGGGTGGCAGGGCATGTGGGCAGGAGGGGCCTTTTCTCAGCGGGTGGCATTTTGGAACATTCAAGTGTTCTTTTTTTACATTTATTGGTGTTTCTGATTACAGCATTAGAAAAATGTCAAACATAAAGAAGAAAGTAAAGTCACCTGCAGAGATGCAGTGGTGACGGTAGAGAGAATCGGAGTGAGCAGACTGTCAAGTGTGCTTTTCGAGAGACCGCAGCTCCCGTTTCTGCAGAGCACCTTCGGCAGGAGCCCGCCCTCCCTCAGCCTCCTGATGCGGCAGTTCCTTGCCCTTGACAGTGCCCTTTACACAGTGCCCTTTGCACAGTGACCTGCAGCTGGATATTGAGACTAGCCTCTACATTTTTGCTATTATAAATGATGCTAAGATAATCTCTGAACATTCATCTTTGCATGTGATTTGTATGTGATTTCCTCAGAAGTACTGATTCTCAAATTGATATATCCCTTAACCGCAGTCTGAAGAAACAGCCTAAAACAACTACTAGCACAAAATGTCTTTAAATTCTCCTATCTTGTGGGGAAAAAAAGTTACAGGTTAAATTATGCAACTCTTTCCCTGTCTCCTGAAAGACAAATATCAGTTAAAAAGGTATTCAGAAAGATGCTCGCGTTTATCCTGTGTACTCTGAGGATGCAGGGCCTCTGGGTGGAGGGGACCGAGTGTCCTGAATTTGTATTTTAGGATGCTTACCCAGGCTGTTTGAGAGAACCTCCTGTGCTGTTGGTGTTAGCCTGCTGGCTAGGCTCGCGCAGACTCCCGTGGGCTGATTCAAGTGATAGGCTGGGCAACATATGGCTGCGTATTGATGGGAACTGAGACTGGAACACAGTCAGACTGGGGAGCATCTGCCTGGCCCAGCTGCTTTCTGGTGCCAGATCCTGGGGTACATGGCTTGGCTTCTCCTGGTTCGAGGGCCCACACCCAGTCTAGGGCCCGGCCTCTGTGGCCAGTAAGGAAGGGCACACAAGATGTCATCCATTCACTGGGGCCATGAAGGAGCCATTTTTCAAATAGTTTTTTAGAGAGAAGCCATCTAAAGGGATTTCAGCCTTTAAAATACCTCATATGTATTGTCACATTTTTTTTTTATCATTCCACTTTAAAGGAATCTTATCTTTTATTTCTTTCTCTAGTGGCAAGTTAGAGAGCAAGGAGAGGAGGTAGTATGGTTTTCCTAAGCGATTATACAAATGTCGTGTAACCCATATCCATTTAGAGCCTAGTGGTGCGAGCCACTTTTCCGTTCCTCCCACTGGATCCCACAACTGCCCTGTGAATGGCTGGCTCACCTCTGGACGTACGCAGCCACACTCAAAGGAAGGCGGGTAGAGAGTGATCTGTGTAGGAGGGACTCACATCAGTAGACAAGAAGGATGCAGGTGTGAGAGTTGTAACCAAATGTGTGGAGGCTCCAGAAGCTCAGGCATGGGCGAAAGATGAGCGGGCTAGGATACCCTAGTCCCATACGTTTGGCTGTGTGCCAGATCACGCACAGGAACACGCTGAGTCTCCAGCTTGCCAATCCCCAAGAGACTGCTGGAGTTTTGCTGGAACCAAAACATCTTGCTCAGAGAATAGGAAAATACTTCTGTTCAGTGTGGAGCTGTTGGGGACCCCATGCCACCATCCCTCCGGCCCCTGATTGCCACTCGCTGCCTTTTTCCTGTCGCCTCCTCCAAATTCCCATAAACATCTTCTGTCTTTCCTTTTGTCCCCACCTCAGAAATGCCACTCAAAGGGGTAATTGGAAGTTCTCTGGATAAAAGATGCTGCAGAAATGTCCGTTTTAACAAGAATGTCCATGTGCCTCTTTATCAACAGAAAACTTGGAATATAATGTGGAGCCTCAAGAAATCTCGCACCCCGATGTCGGACGCTATTTCTCAGAGTTTACTGGCACCCACTACATCCCGAACGCAGAGCTGGAAATTCGATACCCAGAGGATCTGGAGTCTGTCTATGAAACAGTACAGAACATTTACAGTGCGAAGAAAGAGGATGTGGAGTAAAGTCTGGTCGGGGACCTTGGACCTTTGCTGCTGCTGCTATCTTCCAAGAGAACAGGTTCCGGAAGAAGACGTCTCTACGGACCCCTCTGGACTCACACCACCAGGAAAGCCACTGGATCAGTAGTGCTGGCTGCCTCCTCCCAAGTTTAAACGGCGCGTGCCCTCCCCCAGCTGCAAAGACGATGTCGCTCTCTGCGTACACTAGTGAATTCACTTGAAAGGCACTGTGTTCAGTGGCATGGCTTGTATGCTTGTCCTGTGGTGACAGTTTGTGACATTCTGTCTTCATGAGGTCTCACTGTCGACACTCTTATCATTCTTTTTATTCACTTGCCATTGTGTCTGTCTGCATTTGTCTCAGAGCGTTTCATTTGCTGGACAGATGGGGTTGTTTGCATTAATTTCTTCCTGATTTCTCTGTGGGACATGTGTGGGCCTAAGTCAGAACTGTGTGTCATTTTACCCTGAATCGAGTTGCTTATTCGAAGGTGACGCTGTAGGAGATGTGGCAGTGTCTTGCAGATGGAGACATTAACAAACTAATGGTAATCAAAATCATGTGAATTTATTTTTTTCTAATTTTTAAAGCAGATTTCACATGTTTATCTTTTTCTTTATTTGAATTGGGAGAATGACACGGTTTCCCTTCCATATTCCTCTCTGGATTTATGCTTGTATCTTAACGAATCATTAGTCTTCTATTTTATTACATAACATTATTTGAGAAAATGCATAATAATGATTTTTGTGAGTGGATTTTCCCACATTCATCTACTGTTCTCTTTAAAATAAGTACTTTTTTAAAATCCAGTATCATGAGTAGATCTTAAATTAGTGATGGGTTCTCTTTATAAGAAGAAGTACAATCTGATGTTAAAAGGTTTGCCTTTAGAAACCATACTCCATGGTCTCCAAAGACCTAAAAATGAGTTTCACTTTTCTAATCAGAAAAAAGAAGAAATAATGAACCTTAAAATTTTGAAAAGAAAAGAGGAGGTTTCATGTCCCCTGTCATTCCTTAGAATCACTTCAAAACCTTTTCGAATATGGCACGGTAGAACCAATGAAACATCTTTAATTTTGAGAGTGTTGGGTCAGTGGGAAAGGAGACGTGAGTGTGACCTGCCCCTCAGTAGCCATTGCCGTGAAACATGAGCAGGAGGAAGCCGGTTCCTGAGCCCCCGGGGCTGACTTCCGGTTCACACTCACTGGCTTCTCTGCCATGTTCTTGGTAACTGGGTGTGAAGGGCCCGACTCTGTGCCGCTCTGGAACACGCACCCTTCTAGACCTGCCACTTCTCTGGCGAGCTCATCTTGTAGTTAACCAGTAGGAACGACCTTCTGGAGTCAGGACCTAGTTACTCGGCTCTCTCAGTCTAGAAGCAGCCCTGTGCTCTAGTGAAAGGCTTTCGGGCTGTGGCCCAGTCGCGCCTCGCCACCTGTCTTCATTTGCATGCAGTATTTTCACACCATGTTTGCTGACTGCCTCTTGTTCAGCCCTCGGAAACCCTGGGATGACTGAGGTCTGGGGAAGCCACCTGAGACCACTTAATAGCAAGTGACAGCTATTAAGAAGTTATTAGAAAGAGACGGGGATTTGGCCAGGGGCTCCTTCCAGCCTGAATTAGCTGTGGCCCAGGGTCCGTGTTCCTCGGCAGTCAGAGCCACAGTCGGGTGATCTGGACTTGCCCCCTCCCGGCGCCCAGCCCACCCGAGGTGGGGCTTTACACTACTCCCGTGCGAAGGTGGAAGTTAGGTCACATGGGGCTCGTGCTCGGGAGATGCATTGCTCGGAAACCGTGGAGCATGCTGAGAGTTATAACTGTCGGTTTTCTGGTTTGGTTTCCTTTTTCCTTAGAGTAACATCACAGCCAAGAGAGATGGTTGACCTTTGCTGACCCTGTGTACATATGTATCTAGACTGTTTTTAAGTGTGTTTCTTCATGAATGCTTCATTTGGCTCCAGGAAGCCGGTGTCACCTGTGTAAGTTGGTATTTGGGCACTTTATATTTTTCTAAAAACGTGTTTTGAATCCTGTACTCTAATAAATCATGTTTCTTTTTAAAATTTTTCCAAAAGTTTTCTCCATTTTAAAAAGCCCTGTTATAAAAGAAGAACTTTCACAATGTTAAAATATTAAATATTTGGATATAATAACTTCTTTTCTCTTCAAATGAATGCCAAGATTTTTTTGTACAATGATTAATAAATGGAACTTACCCAGAGAAACCACACAAATGGCCTGCCCGATTTCGTTCCAGAACAGAAAGTCCAGCCTGGCAACAGCGGGATGTCCCCACTCCTCTTCTCATCAAAATGGGCACAAATCTGCTACCGAATCTTTCTTAACGTTGGTGAGTGAACAGGGACCTTGCTACTAGGATTTCCCCCAAGCGCTCATGTTCTAAGCTTGCTGGTAACCTTGGGAGTATCTGGTTATGACGCAGAGGCCGCAGCTCTTTCATTCTGTTCAAATGCGTGCTGTGAAATGGGAACTGTGAGTGCTGTGAGGGAAGCCCAGGGTCGCAGTGCGTCCTGACGATGGCCTGACGGCTGCACGGGTCCTCCAGGGCGCCAGTTCTCCGTGATGCCACCACAGACGGTGGAGAGGAGATATTCTGGGCTAAGCTAGGCACCAGTTTCCCACACCGCGGCGTTTCTCAGAACTGTTAATGTGCAGTTGTGCACTGTGATCTTCCAGGAGGAGAGCAGTGTGCCGTGTCTTCCTAACTTCTCAGGCCCTAGAACCTCCCTCCCCTGGCGCGCGCGCGCGCGCGCACACGCACACACACACACACACACACACACACACACACACACACACACACAGCATCCCCGAGCGCCAGGGTTTGCAGATGAGCTCTGGGAAATGCTGTCTCAGTGAGACATCACTTATGTCCCGGACTCTACATTATCATCTGACCAGTTTGGCCAAGCGTCTCATTGGAGAACATTCTCCATCTGATCGGATTTTGAAAGGCCAGCTTTATGTTGTCTCTGCCTGAACCTCATAACAGATCTCCACTAGAAGTGCATTTACACGGCAAAATTGTTTTATCACGAAAACCAGCATCAATACTGTTGCTGAATCAATTTTATGTTTTCTAATATCTCCTTCGAGTCTTGTTCTAATTTTAAAATGTCTCGGTCTTTCTTCACATGTTAAACGGAGTCCAGCTTTCATGTTTGAGGCTTTCCTCTGCCACACTAGGGCCCTTTGCTATAAAGGAGAAATATTTCTTCTCCTTAGTCCATATTCCAAGTAAGTGAAATTGGACTACCAGCAACTTTTTAATTCAAAAGTCTTGTGGCCATAAGAATCAGAATGTAGCTCTTCATGATTTTCATTTGATTTTTGGAAGGAAGGAGAGAGTGCTCACCTAGACGAAAAGCAGGATTTGGCTGCGTGACAGTTGATTTTTGGCAGACATTCGTAGCTGTGTTGCATGTGTGACTTTGTATTGTCTGCTTAACCCTGAGCCATGCACGGGCCTCAGCTGTCCATAACCCCCACAGCAGCCCCACAGGGCGGGGCCAGGCAGTGAGTATTTTCGCAGGCCGCATAATGTTTGTGCGGTCTCTGTCACATATTCTTCCACACAAAACACTCTTAGCTGGAGGGCTGGACGAAAACAGGCCGCAGGCTGGATTTGGCCCGTGGGCCCTCGCTTGCTGAGCCCTGCTATGGGATCGGCCGGCCAACGGAGGAGCACACCGCCCAGAGGTGGGGACCCAGCCGCGCACCAGGTGTCTGACCCCCGACCCCCAGCCCTTGACACCCGCACGACCGACCACTTCAGCAACTACCTCGCGATGTTCTTACCCTTTGCCTTGGCGGCGACTCTAACCTCTAACATTTCAGTTCTGGAAATTTAGAACCTTAGAAGAAAAGGACATTCCTTTGGTGAATAAAATTATGTGCAATTATAGAATAAATGTATTATGGCCATTTAGCAATGATTGTATTAGGGTAATGCTAGTTCTGTAATAAATAGACCCAAAAATATATGATGGCTCCATCACAAAAGAACTTTCTTGCTTACGTAACACTGGGGAGGGGAATGGGTTGGTGGGGTGGCCCTCGGGCAGCGGGGTGACCCAGCCTCACTGTCTTCAGCCTGTGGCTTCCAGGAGCACCCTGGGGCTATCTCCCTCCACCCAGCCTGGAGGGGAGTGAGCGTGGAGGGGCAGCTGGGGGTGCTCCGGGAGCTGAGACTGGGAGCGGCACTTAGCCCTTGCACTCGTGCCTCGAGGGAGGGTGGGAATGCGGAGGACACTAATGTGGCTAGCGCTGCGGTCCAGTCTCAGTCTGCTCAGGGGGTGCTCTTCCTGTGCGGGACATGCCCCCTTCCCCGGGAGGCAGCCTGTGTGAAGTGGGCTGGCTGTGGTGACAGATGTCGCCAGTGTCAGTGGCTCAGTCCAGAAAGGTACTGCTTGCTCCTGCCGCAGCACGGCCACCAGGCAGGGGGCTTACTCCTTACAGGTCGTGCTGCTGTCTTACACCCAGAGTCTTCTCCACAGGTGGCATGGGAGGGAAGGAGGAGACCTCACAGGAAAAACTGTAGTCCCTTACGTCCGCCTCGGTAGCTAGATCTCAAGTCACCGACTCACAGCTTAACTCCAGAGGAGGCTGGGAAATGGCCTCCAGGGTGCCCAGGAGGAAAAGGAAAGGTCTGGGAGCTCTGCCTTGTCTGTGCCCTGAGCCTCTCCGCCCCACTTCCCCCGTCCCGCCCAGAGTTCAGTTGTTCTCTGAGGGCTGCTGTCCTCTCCATCAGTCCACGTGGCTCCTTGAGGACAGGCCCCCATGAACTAAAAGAGTTATCCGACCCCCCACCCTTGTCACATCCCCCCGATTCCCATTCACTGGTGAAGCAGGGACAGGACCACTGCAGTAAAAACTCCCACCTGGAAAAAGAAAGAATGAGACGCAGCAGAAGCCACCAGCGGAGGAGATGGCGGGATTCTGCCCTCTGGGAGGAGTCCCTCCTCCATTGTTCCCGGATCCTGCGCTCTGGGTCCACTGCTTCCTGGTCTGTCACAAGTGGGTGTTGGGGGTGCGTCCTCCCCAGGAGCTGTGCGGCTCTCACAGTCAGTCCCCTTCCGGCCTGGTGCAGGTTTGGGGGCCAGAGCAAGACTATTGATTTTTACAACAAGCTTGTGATTCCTCTGCCCATGATTCCCTCAAAAACTCAGCAGCCTGCTAGCCTGTCTGTGCCAGTAATCACACCCAAAGTTCTTTTCCAGAACTTTCCAGCCTGCTTTACTTCCTTGCTTCTCTGCCCCATGCCTGTCTCTTCCCCCCGACTTAGTGGTGGTTGCCTTAATCTGACAGTAAGTAGGCAATGCCGAGTCTCTGTTGCATGGAACATTTTCACCGGCCTTCATTGCTCTAACTGATTCCCTCCTTATCTCTTGCTGTGGATGCACAGAAGCCATTGCCCTTTCTAGCATAGGAAGCCTAGGATTTCTGACTCTTCGGTTTCAGGTCTCAAACCAGCACATTTTTGCCTGAACATCTCTTTCTCATCATGCCCTGCTGTCAGCAGCAAAGAGCAACCAACACACACTACCTTCTGTCCCTTATCAGCTACTCCCCTAGACTAGCTACAGTGCCAGTGACTCCACCTTCAAGTTATGCACAGCAGTTGAACCGAGTGTAACCCCCCAAACACAGCCTCCAACCTCCCAGCCTGCCCCGGGGCGTTTCGCTGCCGCCTGACTGCTAAGCTGACACCATATAGTTTAGGTTTTTGTCACAGCGGTTCTCCTTTCAAGGATTCTTTGTTTTATTTTTAAGTTTAAAGTGGGCTCATGTTTCCATAGGAAGTTTACTTCCTGTTTGGCTGTGCAAAAAAAACTGAGGCCAGTGATGGCAGGTTTTCTGAGGAGTGGAAGGGGCTAAAGCCAGTGCTTTAGTGAACTTAGGAAAAGAGGTTGCACCGAGTGAAGGAAAACCGGAGCGGGCAGCAGTTGGACAGTCTGCGTTATAGAGTCCTGGCGTGTCAGAATTTCCTGCTCCTTCTCTTAAAGTAACAGAACTCTTAATGGAAATTTTCATATCTAGGTGTTGAATTTGGGGGACATTAGAGAAGACTTTGAATGACGATTGCTTTTCCTATCTCCAAACACTATCGTGTCGAGGGTTCAGAATTCTTTAGTAACCTCCCATTTATGACATGGTCATGTTCCCAGTCACGGCTGTTGACGAAAATAATCCATAACCAATCTATAAATGAAAATTTGGGTGACTTTATTCTGAGCTAAAATGTGAGGACCATGGCCTGGGGCCTTTCATCCCAAAGGAAGAAAGGGCACCGAAGAAGTCGGGTGCACAGAGTGGTTATACACCCCCAAAGAGGATGTTTCACATAGGATTGAAATGTCCCTTTTATAACAGTCACGTGACTGCTCTGTCGGCACAGCGATTGTTGGACACAGCAGGTAGGTCTGCTGTCTCGGTGGACGCAGCAGGGTGGCAGGTCTGTTGTCTCGAGCTGGGTGGTCACAGGTGAGCTGGGTGGTCAAAGGTGAGCACAGCAATCAGTTCCTAGCCTAGGAAGAGATGCTTATCCTTAAGGAAATGGCAATGTGGGGGGAAGTTGCACCTTTATCTTAAGGGCATTTGTTCTTGCCATAGGAAATGTTTAAAGCAGATGTACAATGCATGCTCAATGGTCATGTCAGGCCCTTTTGGAAAAACAAAGTCAGGCCGAATTAGGTTTACACCAAATGGCTTCCTCATATACTCCAATATGTCCTATTGCTTGCCATTTCTATTTGTCATTTTCCTCTTTTGATCTATAAGCTTTTGATAGAAAGCATTGATGATCAAAATATTGTCCCTCGGTGCCAGGGTGGTTGCTACCTGCCCTGGGTCCATCATGTCCCTCGGTGCCAGGCTTTTATCTCATTGATTTGCCCAGTTGTCCACACTGGGGGGAAATAGTGGACAAGCATAGAGGTATATATATTCACAGAGGAAGCATTTCGTAGGTTATGTAATTTTTAATTAATTTTAGATTGTTGCACAAACATTGTATATGTACTTTTCTATGACTCTTCACATTTACATTGTATATGATCATAGAACAAGTATAGTAACGATGATAATAGTTCAACATCTTTGAAAACATTAGTTTAAAATGACTTCTTAGGCATAGTCTTTATCAGAAAAGGAAATTTGTCCAGGGTTGTAAGATAGATCAACCATCTGGAGTCACCACGCAACCATTATTCTAGTTTGTATGCCAGTCTTACAACACTGAGTAAAGAAAACAACAGTTAGTTTGAACATTATGACTAGTACAAGAATTCCAAGAAGTAGTAGAAATAGGAATTGCATTCGGGATGGAAAAAGAGAACCGATACTGAAAGAGAGCCAACCAAACACATCAAATTGGGTGTAGGATCGCATAAGGCATTCACCTGTTCTTTCACGTGCTTTAGCAGAGATGACACATTGGAAGACTCATCACGCATAAAAGCACAGCATCCAGTCTGAATGATTGTGTACCACCGTGGGATGCAGTAAGAATATCTAAAGCCATTCTGTTTTGAAGGACAGCCCTTCTCATTAAAGACATTTCAGTCTTTAATAAGGTTGTTCCTCCTTGACTATCATTAAGGGCTTCTTGAGGAAATTTAGTCAGAGCTTCCATATGTAATATTGACATCTTTTAGCCCCAAACAAGGAGCAAATATAGCTGCAAATATAGCCATAGCGGTGAACACTGAACGAGTCCATCTGGCCTTAAAGAGAGGGAGATTGGCAACAGGTTTTAATGCAGCCTGACTCCTTCCCTGCTTTTAAAGGTAACTCAGGGTGCAGTGTCTTAGCCATCCAGGTGGTACCAAGGCCAGGGATTTGTTCCACATAACCATTGAGTTCCATCAGGAGTCACTCGATAAATGCCTGGCTTTCAACACCAGTCTGTTCCAAATTAATCCCTTTAAGTATGATAGTATTCCAAACAAATTGTAAAATAGGTACACAGTTTAAGCATAACAAAGGTTTAAGTGAGGAGATAGAAGGTTGGGAATGCAGGCCTAGTCCGGAGTCTCGGGACAGCTGTCTACAACAGATGCTGTCTTCTTCTCCTCCTGGTGTGGGTCCTTTCCAACTGGGCTGTATAGAGTCTTTTATTTGATGTCTCTTTCAATAAATAAATTCTCCTGGTTATAGTCCATGATCCATGAGTTCTGAGTTCTCTGTGTAAGAATGAGCTACCAATCTTTCATTTCTTTTAAGCGTCTCAATAAGACCATGACAACAATTTAATATATCCCTTAAGCAAAGTTGGTTCATATATTTTTTTATCTAATTGCATAGGCTGTTTTATTATTTCAAAAGGAGACAGGTGATGTTTACAAAAAGTGTAGATCTAAGGTTAAGGAGCACGAGCACAAGAGCTTTTGGCTGTGAGAGAGTAAATGCTTCTGAAAGCTTTGCCAATTAAGTTTTGGTTGTGTCTGTTAGTTCTTTCCACCAATCCTGAGGATGGAGGATGGTAAGAGCAGTGGAAATGCTGCATTATTGGCCAAATATTACTAATAGATTTAATGAGTTCCCTAGTCACTGTGTAACTCGGTAGGAATGCCTCAAACAGGAATTATCCTTTTCAATAATAATTTACCTAAAGCCATCACTCTTCTGCAAGGAGAAACCTCAACACAATGTGAGAACATACAGATCATTACAAGATATATTTATCCTTGAGATGGTGGCATTTGGACAAAGTCCAATTGTCATACCTCAAACGGTCCCTTAGGAAGGGAAAGTGGCCTTGTGACTCATAGAGTGGCTTCTCTGGATTATACTTTGGGCATATAGCACAAGTAGAGGCCATATGAGCCACTGTGGGAAAAAGTTTCCCAAAGTATTGTTTTCCCTTTTGTTGCAACCTATATATATTGATTATTATTATTATTTTTTCTTCCATAGCGATTTCTTGAGCCTGTAGAAGGAAATCTTTTACTGGGTTAGCAGAGTTAACAGAAAGTAGCAGG